ACAGGCCGGGATCTATACCTGGTCAGACTGTACAGACAGGCCGGGATCTATACCTGGTCAGACTGTACAGACAGGCCAGGATCTATACTGGTCAGACTGTACAGACAGGCCGGGATCTATACTGGTCAGACTGTACAGACAGGCCGGGATCTATACCTGGTCAGACTGTACAGACAGGCCGGGATCTATACTGGTCAGACTGTACAGACAGGCCGGGATCTATCTATGTCCAGGAGGGATGGTCAGACTGTACAGACAGGCCGGGATCTATACTGGTCAGACTGTACAGACAGGCCGGTCAGACTGATCTATACCTGGTCAGGACTGTACAGACAGGCCGGGATCTATACCTGGTCAGACTGTACAGACAGGCCGGATCTATACCTGGTCAGACTGTACAGACAGGCCGGGATCTATACCTGGTCAGACTGTACAGACAGGCCGGGATCTATACCTGGTCAGACTGTACAGACAGGCCGGGATCTATACTGGTCAGAATGTACAGACAGGCCGGGATCTATACCTGGTCAGACTGTACAGACAGGCTGGGATCTATACCTGGTCAGATGTACAGACAGGCCGGGATCTATACTGGTCAGACTGTACAGACAGGCCGGGATCTATACTGGTCAGACTGTACAGACAGGCGGATCTATACCTGGTCAGACTGTACAGACAGGCCGGGATCTATACCTGGTCAGACTGTACAGACAGGCCGGGATCTATACCTGGTCAGACTGTACAGACAGGTCGGGATCTATACCTGGTCAGACTGTACAGACAGGCCGGGATCTATACCTGGTCAGACTGTACAGACAGGTCGGGATCTATACCTGGTCAGACTGTACAGACAGGCCGGGATCTATACCTGGTCAGACTGTACAGACAGGTCGGGATCTATACCTGGTCAGACTGTACAGACAGGCCGGGATCTATACCTGGTCAGACTGTACAGACAGGCCGGATCTATACCTGGTCAGACTGTACAGACAGGCCCGGATCTATACTGGTCAGACTGTACAGACAGGCCTATATGGGATCTATACTGGTCAGACTGTACAGACAGGCCGGGATCTATACCTGGTCAGACTGTACAGACAGGCCGGGATCTATACCTGGTCAGACTGTACAGACAGGTCGGGATCTATACTGGTCAGACTGTACAGACAGGCCGGGATCTATACCTGGTCAGACTGTACAGACAGGCCGGGATCTATACTGGTCAGACTGTACAGACAGGTCGGGATCTATACTGGTCAGACTGTACAGACAGGTCCGGATCTATACCTGGTCAGACTGTACAGACAGGATGGGATCTATACCTGGTCAGACTGTACAGACAGGCCGGGATCTATACTGGTCAGACTGTACAGACAGGCCCGGATCTATACTGGTCAGACTGTACAGACAGGCCCGGGATCTATACTGGTCAGACTGTACAGACAGGCCGGGATCTATACTGGTCAGACTGTACAGACAGGCCGGGATCTATACTGGTCAGACTGTACAGACAGGCCGGGATCTATACCTGGTCAGACTGTACAGACAGGTCGGGATCTATACTGGTCAGACTGTACAGACAGGCCGGGATCTATACTGGTCAGACTGTACAGACAGGATGGGATCTATACCTGGTCAGACTGTACAGACAGGCTGGGATCTATACCTGGTCAGACTGTACAGACAGGCCGGGATCTATACTGGTCAGACTGTACAGACAGGCCGGGATCTATACTGGTCAGACTGTACAGACAGGTCGGGATATCTATACTGGTCAGACTGTACAGACAGGTCGGGATCTATACTGGTCAGACTGTACAGACAGGCCCGGATCTATACTGGTCAGACTGTACAGACAGGCCCGGATCTATACTGGTCAGACTGTACAGACAGGCCCGGATCTATACCTGGTCAGACTGTACAGACAGGCCGGGATCTATACCTGGTCAGACTGTACAGACAGGCTGGGATCTATACTGGTGACGTAGGCTGATAACTTTCTGTTCAAGCAGGTTAAGGAGTTAAATGATTTTATGTATGTGATTTCTTTTTTAAATTTCATAGAATTCTTAAAAGAACTGCATGTGGCTACCAAGAAAATTATGCTTTCTGTTTTGGTGTGAATACATTGCTACAAAGTGTTATAAAACCAAATAAAGATTTTAAAAAGCACATTTACAACATTACAAAAATAACTAACATAGAAATAACATGAATAAAACTATTTTTAAAGTGACTATTCATTAAAAAGTGAGCACCCATACAGTTACTAAAAATGAAAATTCATAACAATTAAAATAAACAATGTAAGAAAACAGAAAATATACATGTATAGTTATAATACAATTAACTATAAAATGCAGTCATGGGTTCAGTTAAAAATTTCATTATAATCATTACTAAATGTATATATGCTCATATTAACAAATGAACACCTTAATTCCATATGGCTAACATATATGTAAAAAATTTCGAACCAATGTGGATGTAAAAGCACTGTATACATATATAACATTATAAATGAACTCTTAAAGAAACACTAAAAACATTAAAGTTCAGATCTATTTTTCCTGGTTAAAAGAGATTTAAGTCTCTTCACATTTCTTGTAAAGATTATTCATTTTGATAAAATCCTGTGTGTTTTTTTTTCTTTGAGGTAAGAAGTGGTATAGTAAAGTATTTAACACAAGTTATACATCAATTTTCTGAACACTTACAAATATCTCATTTCAAAGGATTATTTTACTTTTGGACAAATTATAATGGGACAAACAACTGGAGAGTAGTCTTGTTAATATATAATATTCATTTAATCAGGTTCACATGCCGCCATTTTGTCTTGATGATCATTGCACATGGGTATCTATTTATCTGTAGTAAATAATAATAATAAAGACTTTATTTAAAGAGGCAACATAGTTAGGCAAGCCCAATCTTCCCTATGAGCTTCTATGGAAGATTCAATTTATACTATATTATAGACAGATTCTTTATCACTTTATCAAAGTCTTCTTCAATAGATATTGGCTCAACATTATCTATACAAACAAATTATCCTTAATATAATGAAAATTTGATCTTGATTAATTAAATCTACTAGATGGCAGTAAAAAGGAAATAATAAACATACAATGTAAAAAATAAATTTCATTACAACCTAACTAAAATGCCAAAATATATCACTAACAGGGGAAACAAAAAAGAGTCTTCAGTAAACAGTGTTAATAACAAATATAAGCTAACTGGTGTAAAATTTAAGAGTCCCTCCATATCTAAATTGTCTTAACATTCTTTTTTCCCTCTATATCTAAATTGTCTTAACATTCTTTTTCAATGTAATTTTTTATAATGATAATCTGACTAAAGTTCAGAAATTCTTATGTTTACAGGTAGATCATCAGTATCTGTTTCACCCTCTAGTAGACTTTCTGATAAAGCCATCATCAGACTGTTTATCTAGTCGCTAGTTGCTTGTCCTCAATATAAATGTCCAATTCTTACTTAACATTAATAAGTGTGTTATTGAACATCATAAATTCATGCATATCAATATAATGGTTTTGAAACAAGATTCAGGATCACATATATAAGCCAATTTATACTATATTATAGACAGATTCTTTATCACTTCATCAAAGTCTTCTTATTATCTATACAAACAAATTATCCATAATATAATTAAAATTTGATCTTGATTACTTAAATCTACTAGATGGCAGTAAAAAGGAAATAATAAAAATACAATGTAAAAAATAAATTTCATTACAACCTAACTAAAATGCCAAAATATATCACTAACAGGGGAAACAAAAAAGGTGAATCATACAGAAACAGCATCATCAATACTACTTTCATATCATATGTTAAAAGTCCTCAGCCAATGTGAATGAAAAATACAAAATATTCTGTGAAATAAGTACACATTTTCTTTCGCCAGTCTGAATGAAGAATACTAAAATGTTCTATGAAATAAGTACATGTTTTTTTTTCAATCAGTGTAAATGAAGAATACTAAAATGTTCTATGAAATAAGTACATGTTTTTTTTTCAATCAGTGTAAATGAAGAATACTAAAATGTTCTATGAAATAAGTACAACATTTTTAATTGATATTGTGTTTATAAAGCTGCACTGTATTTACATAAGCATGTCCTAGGAAATTATCTAAAACAATCTACCACAGTTACCCTTAAACAAATAATACTGTTTTACATGTTATGTAAATTTGGTATAATTGGATACACATCATGGATTTTCAGACATAAAGGATTTGAGTCTTCAGTAATAACTTCAGCTAAACTAATACATGTACTCAAAAACCTTCTACATACTCTACTGTAACAAAACCATTACCATACCATTTACAGTATGGTCCTCCTTAGAAAATATAATTGGATGGATGCATATTTTTTTTAAATTATAAAATACAGTCAAGTCTGCCTTCAAAAACTAGTGGAGGGCTCAACCATTAATTTTAGAAGAGCGCTTATCTTTAGTATTTGTTTAATTCTATATTTTTTTGACTGACTTTACCTAGCCTTTTCAAAAAACATAACATTCAGGTCTTGCACTTTACTATGTGACAAATTTTCATGTCACAATAAAATTTTTGAATCTAAAAATATCACTTGTTGTATGATAAAAAGAAATTACAAACTGGATGATAGTTACACTTTTTTATTAATACAATCTTTACTTTAAAGGAAGCTTTTAAGTTATTAAATCTGATTTTGAAATTGTTATAAACTCATTACATACAAAAGTTTATACTTCTCTTTCTAAAACTGTGTTAGTCTGTATGAACAATGGTTTAAAAAAAACTTTGATGTATGACAAAATATTCATCATAAAAATAATACCCCTAACCATAAAAGGGTGGGGAAGTGCGTATGAATGATATATATAATCAGCACTAACCTAATAAGAAAAAAAACAAAATGAAAAATAAAACAAAAGGTATATAGAAAAATGAAATAAAAAAGGAAAACAATAAGTAACAATGCATAAAAATTGTAATGTAATGAAATGAAAGACAATATTATAAGAATGTATAAAATGATAGGAAACTGGAGAATGCAAAGGATTATATAAAAACAAAAAATCTAGCTATCTTAAAACACAAGGTAAAGCTTAATAGTTCATTAAAATCATTTCCTTTCTTGATAAAAATGTTGTTTCATAGAAAGATAATTCATCTTATATCTGATCTGATAAAATATGCTTACAGTTCATAGCCCTATCAACACATTTTTTCTTTTTTTTTCTTTTCCTTTCTTAACCTATCTACATAACCTTTCAATATTATGACTGTGCTAACAGTTTTCATTATTTCTATCCTTTGGAAATCTCTTTATTTCACAACCCACCCGTATATGATCCTTTCCGACATTAAACAAGACAAAGACATTTATAAACTCCTAAATAAAATCAGACTATACTTCAAGTTATTATAAGATACTAAACAGTCACAGAACAGAAATATTTAAAACATTATCTTTTTCAAAATAATTATACAAGAAAACAAAACATAAAATGGAAACAAAACATGCAGGTTTAGCTTAGAACATAGTTACTAGAGAACTTTCATAAATGCTTTAACAATTATTCTGCTCTTTAATGAACAATATGTCCAGTAAAATATGTCAATTTAATAGTTAAAAGAAACCAAAACTAAATTCAAAGACCATTTTATACCAATGTGACAACAATTTGTAAACTGGTTGTCAAATTGAAGTTACATAATCTCTAACCCTGTTTTTAACAAGAGACAATCATGTCTGACCCTGACTTTAAGGAAGTTTAAAAAATTGGCTAGACTTTCCTCTAACAAATCAGTCTTTTAAACAACTATTGTATGTAGCACCCAATAGAGAAAATATTTCAGAAAAAAAAATAAACGTACAAAACAAACACATTAACTACAACTACATGGTTAGAAATATTTCCCGACTTTTCACTCGACATGTAGCTTATACAGTATTCATCATCCCTTTATAAAAAGGAGAAAGAGATGTATACTGAAGAAACTGAAAATATCTACAAAAACTTCAGAAATATTTCTAACCAACTACTTTTGATTATTGAGCACATTTTCACAGGGAAGTCAATTTTCAGACAGAAACTTTCAACAAAAATCAACAAAAGGTTTATTTATAACACATATGGAAACATCCATTTAATGGATTAATTTTTCTTCATGGCAAGAATATGCTCTTCTTTTTTAGATTCGGCAAACAAACTTTTTACACAAGACCCTGTCCATATCTTTAAGTATAAACCCCTTCCTTATAAAACGTTCTATAACAAATGTAGAAACAAGAAATTGAAATTACTTCAGAATAATATTCATGCACTTAACAAATAAGATTACAAAGTATACAGTATAAAACATTGCAAAATTCACAAATATGGTAATGAATTAAGATGGCATACACATATATATATATACGATTTATTTACAAAATTGAACATAACAACCAAAATAAATGATATCTATGACTGTTGTGTACAGCACTAGGGTTTTATGAAGCAATGATGAGACTATCAAAACACATGACAATACAACTTACAAGAGACAACAGTTATTTCACAACCAACATTGCACCAAAATTGGAGTACATTTACAAAGAAAGAATCAGTTGTCAAGAGTTTCTTCCCTTAGAAAATAATTCGCCATTTGCAAATATGTAAAAAAGGAGGTAAAATTGCACTCACACAGAAAAAACACAATTTTTCAAGACATATTTTTTGAGACAAAAAACATCATTACATGAAAATATAAAACAAATATTTACCATTAAATTCAATGAGGTTTTATAACTGTACATAAAATTCTCCACTTCATCAAACAAATATTCAAAAATCATATAATTAGACATAATGGTCTATAAAATCTATGGTCCTATATCTAACATAATAAAACAATAAAGCTGTGTCTTCAGTAATGCTGAACAAATTGGTCAAATAATAATTTTGTACAAAATCTGTTTTTTTGTTAATACTGCACAACAATTTAAGTTTACATATACATTGAAATTGTTCAAACTTACTTTGATCCTGAAAAAGCTCATGTATACAATTAAAAACATGATTATATGTTTAGCATTTCCAAACAAATCTTATATGAGTCATTACTCTCACTGTTAAGATTATATCTGAAACGTATTTTCTTGATTTCATGAACTTCAAATCGTTTTAACAAACTCAAAAATTATGCATGTTTGTTTTTAAGTTTCTGTATCCTATCAAAGAAAGATTACCCTACAATTTATACAAATTTGAGTAAAATTCAGATAATCTCAATCTTGACCACAGTGAATCGGATATTTCTTTTCAACTATTATATTATAAATGAATAAAACAGAATCCTTTCTAATTTAAAGTTAATTATCTTTGTTGTTTCTTCTAACTAACTGCAATTGTATGTCAAATTTACAAGATTTATTAAAATACTACAAAATTTAAGGTGGGAAAAACATCATCTATATAACAGAAAAACACTACAAAACGTAGGATTTTCACATTAAGAACTCACTAATATATATAATATATGTGAATCTTCAATATTTTGTATATAAGCCATCTTACTGGGCTTGAGTGACTATTTTTCAAATAAAACATCTAGTTAGGCCTCTGTAAATTAATAATCCTCTTTGGTCACGATGGGGACTTTCATATTACTTTGAGCTATACGCTCCCATTCCTCTATACATCTCTGTACATCTTCTACATCATTGTTCAAATAATGCATTACATTCATCTCAATCAGCTGTTTTGCCACAATCTGTTCCCATCCTTTGTTTGCATGCGGATTTATGGGACTAGGGTGTAGTATACACTCCACCTTAATGTTCATAATACCCGCATTATGTAACGCCTTTGAAGCTCTTTGCTGAACAAATTTCCCTACCGCTATGACCATGCGTATGTTGAGAAGCTTGACAAGTTCTACAAGTCCCGCATCACATGCCTCGTTAATCTGATCAAGCTCCGAGTGAACAAGCTGAGGTGGTGTAATATTCTTACCGGACTCCGACATGTATGCTAGTGGACAGAAATTGTACACATAGCTATTCTTGAAGAAATTTGCCGGTACTTTGCAAATCTTTTGAAACAACCCCCAAAACCTTGCACCACTAACCTGAAATGAACAACGAAAACCATTTTCATGATAAATTAAGTCCATTTTCATGATAAATTAAGTTCAGCTTATTACCAAAGACTATTCTATCACTTATATGTGACATGAAAGGTGCTATTATCTGGCATATTGATACTTTTGACCTCTGAACTCACCGAGATAAATCAGATTAAGCCTATTGCACCATAAATCCCTATTGCATATCTATGCTTAATGTTTATGTTTTCAATCTATAATACAGTTAAAAAGCATACTTTTCTAATAGGTAAGCTAGTATTCAACATGGAATTTATTTCAGATTTAACCTATATCATAGCTTTGTCATACACAGTGTTTTTATGACAGTCCAAAGAAAGAACAATATAACAAGATTTATACCAATCTAAGCCTGCTTCAAGAATGAGATAAAGATAAAAAAATATATTTAGAATGGACACGATATATAAGATAGAAATATACATTGATAAATTAACTATGAACTAGAACTCCGCGAGTCGGATGTGTCGCCTTGTGAACAATGTAGTTTAGGGGAAATGGCCAGGACAAAAATGAAATATGAAAAATAACAAAGGGCAATAACTAAAAATATAATAAGTGCAGAGCAGCAGTTTCTGTACACTGCACTTCTTATCAATAAGATCTATCATTCTATGATGTTTCAAGTCCATAGCTTTCATACTTGAGGAGAAATGACCAGGACAAAAATAAAGTAAGAAAATCAACAAAGGGCAATAACTCAAAAATAAAAAATGCAGAGTATCAGTTCTTATGCACTGCACTTCTTTTAATGAGATCTATCATCCTATGAAGTTTCAAGTCCATAGCTTTTATACTTTTGGAGAAATGTCCTGGACAAAAATTAAGTATGAAAATTAACAAAGGGCCATAACTCAAAAATTAAGAAATGCAGAGTACCGACTCTTGTGCACTGCACTTCTTAATAATGAGATCTATCATCCTATGAAGTTTCAAGTCAATAGCTTTTATACTTAAGGAGAAATGGCCCGGACAAAATTAAAGTATGAAAATAAACAAAGGGCAATAACTCAAAAAATAAGAAATGCAGAGTACCAGTTCTTGTGCACTGCACTTCTTCTTAATGAGACATCATCCTATGAAGTTACTTGAGGAGAAATGACCAGGACAAAAATAAAGGAAGAAAATCAACAAAGGGCAATAACTCAAAAATAAGAAATGCAGAGTATCAGTTCTTATGCACTGCACTTCTTTTTAATGAGATCTATCATCCTATGAAGTTTCGAGTCCATGGCTTTTATATATTAGGAGAAATGGCCCGGACAAAAATAAAGTATGAAAATTAACAAAGGGCAATAACTCAAAAATTAGGAAGTGCAGAGTACTGATTCTTGTACACTGCACTTCTTAATAATGAGATCTATCATCCTATGAAGTTTCAAGTCCATAGCTTTTTTAGTTGAAGAGAAATGGCCCGGACAAAATTAAAGTATGAAAATTAACAAAGGGCAATAACTCAAAAAATAAGAACTGCAGAGTACTGGTCCTTGTGCACTGCACTTCGGGTTATTGAAAGAAGCATGCATACCAAGTATGAAGTCAATCAGACTTATAGTGACTGAGTTATGCTCCGGACAAGCTTTAGGGGACGCCGACGACGACGCAGACAACGACACCGACAACGACGCCGACACAGACGCCGACACCGCCGACAAAAGTAACCCCTATATGTCACCTTTTCAAGGCGACACAAAAAAGCCATCAAGCATAATGCAAACGTACATTAACTGTGAAAACTGAAAAAGTTATGTTACCAAAACAAAACTGTGCCTGCATTTGTTGAAACAATGCATGCTCCACAAAGCAACACATGAGACCAGAAACAGCACATATGTGAAATGAGAAAAGTTCATTAAGATTATTTATGACCAGGGGAAATATCAAGACAAATCCAGTTATAAACAGGAAGAATTTTCATTTTTTCTTTATATACAAGTAAAGTAGTTGGCTTTTGTAACTAAACTCAGATATCCATCAAAAAATTATAAATTATTGAACCAGATCTGAAAATATATCCCATTTTAGATTCTACAGACCTATATCTTGTATAACCATATTGTTTCATGGTGGTGAACATTTAATTTTATCAGTAACTTCAAAATTTGTTATGGAATGCATAAGTTATGGATGTGACCCAAAAATCAACAACTGACCCTATACTTGATCTTGAAGTGTGTCACTGAACTAATATCTATGAACCTGCTTTTTCAAATTAAATTTTTCTTAAAAATCAACCCAAAAAGATAGTTTTGTAACATACTTTGGAAAGTTACTCACATTTTTACCTTTGAGTAAACAATTTTTACCAGGGTTTTTTTTTGTCCAAGCAACACACAAGCTCATAGTTAAGATGGTGAACATTTCTACCCTTTCAATCAAGGAATAACAAAATTATGGAAATGCCACAATTAGAAGTTTTGGCCATATCTCAGTAGTCAATCCACTTAACAAGCTTTCCTTGATAACCAACAAGTAATAACTAATTTCTCCGCAAGTGATCCACTACTACACCAACATGATTTCTGAAACAGCAGTGACTCTAGGATTCTTAATCCATCACTCTGTCTGTTAAACTAGGCAGGGGGACATGTAATGGTCGCTAAGAAATAGTACAAACATGAATAACAATATGATGAGACTTCAAAGGGCCATAACTCTGTAACAAATAAAAAAATATATAGGTCAGACACACAGTTCTTCTTGTTAGTGCAGTTTGCATAACATTAAGTGTAGTTGAATAAAATCATTTGGAAACAAACATATCACAAAGTAAGCTTATACATGTAGATTTATTCATTTTTGAGTTTTCTTCCATTGGAACTGTTTCTTGACACATGTATAAACCAATTAAAAAAGCTATATATTTGCTGCAAAAAAACATTGTATGAATATTTGAAAAAGAGAACTTCCAAAACACCTGTATGTAAGAAATATCTTAGAATATATCTCTTTAAAAGCAAATGGCTGATGCAAAAAATCATTGATAAAAATTAAAAAACCCTTCTTAAAAGAGCAGCATGAAATTTTGTTCTGGAACATTTTATTCTAATTACATAAAATATCAGAGACAATTTATGTTTCAACTCTTTCGAGAATCGACCATAAGATTATCGAAACAATATAATTTTAAATATTTCATTACATATGGCTTTATAAGTCACCTATTAAGTGGGAACATAGAATTGATTCAACTGCATAAATTTGATTCAAACCTTCCCAAAAGTAATGGTTCACCATTGTATACCAATGAGCATACTCATACCCTAGTGTATATACTGCAAAAATGTTTTTCTGATTAAACTAGAATAGCATGAAATGATTATTTCATTTACATATAAGCATGTACATTCTCTTTGTTAAAAGACAAAACCTGTCAGAATAAAATGCAATGTGATTAAAACCTTTCCTAAAAATGTCTGTATGTTTACTTATTAATTGAAAAGAAAATGAAATGAAAATATTACTGTAATGAAACAGCAGCCCTACAAAAATCAATATACTCAATACAAGCGTCCACTCTGGTTTCAGGCAATAAAAAGGCTCCAGGCTGGTTCTAAATCTGTAGTTGCAAGACAATGACCAGCCAGGATAATAATAATATGGCCATAGCAGATTTTGTACTGAACAGGTTGACCAGACCTGACGTTTTTTAATTTATTTTGGGTTGGGTTTTACGTCGCACCAACACAGTATAGGTCATACGGCGACTTTCAAGCTTTACTGGTAGAAGACCTCAGGTGCCTTTCAGTGCATTGTTTCAGGCTTGAAGGGCACCTGAGTAGAACCACCAATGTTACGTAAACTAGCTGGATTCTGCACAGTTGACATTCTGTAGATTTCATGGCAAAAATTTGCACAAAGTAAAGGACCCCTCCTTCTCTTTCATCATTTTGAGACTTCCATTAAAGACATATCAAGGATATGGATTTCTGATCTGTCACTTAAATATCTAGACTAAGGGTTAAAAGTTGTCAATTAATGACATGCTATCTAAATAAATTTAACTAAGCAAGCAGACGGAAGAAAATGTAAAATAAATAAGTTAAGCTTCATCATGCAAAGATGCTTAAAAAGTCAACTTAAAATATTTCTATCTATCTAAAAGTGCAAACAAAATTGAAAGCAAATGTTAAGCTCAACATAATTGACAATATTTATACAAGGTTGCCATTTCCTTTGTAATATTTGTGAGCGTAACTGAACATATAAACCGCAGTTTACACATGTGTACATGTACATTGAAATTAGCATATTTAACAAGTGATTGTGTAATGACTATGTAATGAATGTGTACAAGTCAATATGCTTGATTCATATTTATTTTTCAAAGGCAAATCAGAAATGTGTGAGGGCTAAGCTTAAAACAGGCATATTTGTTGAAATGACATCCCCATCGTATGATACAAATCACCTCATTGAAACATCTTAGTATTAACTGTATTATGTACATGTACCTAATAATATGAAAGAAATGAATTGTAAAACTTTTGTTTTTCTTGTATCTATCTACCTCTGTATTTCTTGACCTTCAACAATATTACATAACTGATGCAGTACATGTATGAAACAGTTTGATAATGGCAGCCATGTTTGTTTTAATACATGCATCAATATCAAACCTCGTTTCTTGTACAGGCAAGTCCTGTTATAAGCTTTTTAGGGTGTTCTATTTCAGGCTTATAAACATCACCCGTGATTTTCAGCCAATTTCTGGTTGTAACAGCCTCACCAAACGGTACCTAGAAAATGAATGAACAGATGACGATTTACAAATCAAGACCCACCTCATTTCTGTTGCATGCGAGACCATTCACTGGTTTTTTAGGATGTTCGACCTCTGGTTTGTACACCTTCCCTTTGATACCTAACCAGTCCTTGGTCGCCATCACTTCACCAAAAGGTACCTGTAGAGAACATGCCAATAATAGAACTGACAACATTGAGTTTGTGTGTGATATTATCTGATCACCCTGCTCTGAAATTTTAGATTTTCTTTTCTATTTCATGCACATTATTCAGATTAAGACTTGAGAAATTTAAGTGTTCATGCTCAAAAGAATATCGTACCTCCCTTTTAACCAAAGGCTTAGACTGAAAGCAAATGTAAAATTCAATGTCTCCACTTAAGATTATTATGTAAAAGTTTGCTACAGCCATTAAGTCTTATACTTAACAGTCAAAATATTTAATGAAGGTTTTAGTTGTTATAAATAATAAAGTTTTTCATTAGTAGATTTCATTTTTGTCATATTCATATAATATCATTACCAATCTACTTAATGCAACCTTCTTAAATTATTAACAGCTAGACAATCAATCTTAGCAGACATCCCTGTAGACGCAACCTTAAGTCCAACATGAAATAATATCATAAAGCAATAAAGTTACAGTCTATTCCATTAAGCTGACCTTTTGTATAACATTGTACCTACCTAACTTTAATACCAATTCATGAAAAATACTAACATAAAAATGTTTATATAAACAATCTATTATTATCCTTCATGAGAAATTGTTCAGTGTGACTTAATTGTAATAAGAAATACAATAATTATTATTACATGGGAAGATATATCATTACATATAGGCTCATGTATAACTAACACACTTTGAAATCAAACAGTCTATCTGGAAATTAAGTCCATTTTCACTTTCTCGTATTCATTCCATCGCTTATGTATTTTATAGAACAGTTCAATTGTACTTTAATATAAATCACATATACACATGTAAATACTGGACTTAGAATTAAAACAATAAATTGAATAAGGTGAAGGTTCATATATCATTTTATTACATTAGTCACTTATAGTTATTTTAAAGCATGATCTTTCAACTTCTATTTGTTAAGTTTAGGGATTCATAAGAGTAATGTCATATGAGGAAACGCTGTTGTATTGGACCATGGGTTCAAGCCCAACTTGGACCACAGCCATGTTTCCTCATAAGACAGAGAAACTTGACAAATACTTACCCCATTTTGAGACATGCCATATGGTCCTGGATTCATCCCAAGGAAGAGAATAGTACGCTCGGATGTACAGTATTTTGATACAAAGTCCCTGTGAGTCTGGAAAGCATATGTTAATGGGCTGTAAACAACAGTTACTGGATAGCCATATTTAATTGGCATCATTTTCTGACATATCCGTTGTTCAATTTGAAGATATTGAGCCCCGATTGGAGTCAGATCATCCTCGATATTGAAATTAAATATAGTCTCTATTTGGTTGTTGTAATCGTATGTGTCAATCGTACATTCTGGATTGTCAATGTCTATTAACGGGCCGATTTTTGTAGGAGCCATTACAACAGTGTTTGGCCTGGGTTTGTTTTCATCTGGTGGTTCTTTGTCGACCTTGCGTTTACGTCCTCGTTTTTTCTTGACTATTCCTGGCGGTGGTGCTTCCATGTTGCTGAAGTCTGAGCCTGTACTTGCGGGACTAGCATTACGTGGAATACTGAAATTTGCATTATCTGGATACTGTCCCATGCCATCTGAACCACTGTGGGATGAAGGTGGTTGATTATAATGCTGTCCATAACCCGCCTGACCACCATTAAAGCCTTGATTACTAAATCGCCCTGATCCCTGCATATCCCCAGAATTTGAGGGATAAATGTTACCTTGTGAGTTGTAATCATTGCCTCCCTTGTTTTGGTAATAATTGTTTTCAAATCGTGGATTATAGCTACCCTGATAGTTTTTCATTGACTGGTTTTGATTATAATAGTCATTTTGATTATACTCATTTCCATGGTAACCCGGCTGCCCACCTCCATTTTGTCCTTGATTCACGTGTGAATAATTCTGATGATAATTACCACGATATTGACTAGGATTTTGATCATAATGCCCACCATAGTTATCTCCCACAGGCCTGGACTGATTACGCATCATTCCATCTCCTCTACTAAAACTATTCCATCTATTTCCACTACCATTGCCATAGTTTTCCATAGACTGGTTGCCATACATATTTGGTGCATGTCTTGGACCACCACCATACCCTTGTCTTATATAAGACTTTCCATAATGCTTTGTCGGTAATATTTCTTTAGACATTTTCCCCTTGTGATCTTCAGTCGCCTGTTTTTCTTTTGTTGTTGTGTCTAAGTCAAGGAAAGTTTTTGGCGAATCAGATTCACGCAATGTTTCTTCTTCACTTTTTACTATCTCACAACCGATTTGGTTGCCATAAATATTTTCAATGTACTGCTTTGAGTGCAAGAAATCCCACTGACCTGGGTCATTTATATATGAATCAGGATTTCCCAATGTATGATTAGTTCCATGGAGCATACTGTCTTTATTTGTTACAGGCTCCTGGTTTTGTGAAATGCTGTGTTGTTGAGGTTCACACTCCTGTTGCATCTGAGTATTATCAGACATAACTGAATTTTCATCATAATCCATGGAAGAATCCACTCCTAGGCTTGGTGGAAAATTAGAATTTTCTTCCTGAGAGTGGAAGGTTGGTTCCCTTGGCAGGACATCAGCATTTTGGTTTGAAGAATAGCAACTGAATGGGGGCAAGACTGGTGGCTTCTCGTTGAATATACTTTGTTCTTGAACACATGGGTAGGGTTTTTGATTATCTGCATCACTTTGGCACAGTTGAGGGTTGTTTGTTTTATAATATTGATTGTCATGACTCATTTGATCCACATTTAGAGATGGCATATAGTTCTGGTCAAGATTCTGATTTGACGAGTAAGAAGATTGAGTATTTATTGGTTGAGATTCACGAAAGAGTTTTTCTGGATTTTCATTTGACATCTGTGTATCTGAGTCAGACTCTGACAAATGAGAGCTTGAAATGGATGCACTTAAAGAGTCTTCTGTATTCTTCATCATTGTGATAGCACCTTCTGCAGAAGCCATCCTGGCTCTATTTCTCCGATACCCAGCTGGCTGTCTAGTAGGTGGGTGAGAAAAACGCCTAGTTGAGCACAAAGACTTTGGTTTTGGAGCAGCTTCAATAGGTGGGGACAAAACTTTATCAGAATTTGAGTCTTTATTGATACTATTTCGTCTCTTTCTCACTTCATTCACTTGAATGCTAAGCTGTAACAGTTCCTCCTTTTTACTAGATGGACTTTTTAGTTTGGTATTTCCAGACACATGTACCCTGGACTCATTAGTCTTTGGTGAGCATAGATTTGGAGCAACAGAATGAGCGAGTTGGTCCAATTGTTTTACACTATTATCTAAGCTTGGAAGACATTCATCCACATTAATATGGACAGCTGTTGTGTATGGCACTGACTTTGCAATAAAATTTGAGAATTCTGACTGAAAATCTCTTTTATTATTAAAGGAACCTGAATCTGTAGAATTCTGTTTCTGAGAATTATCACTTGATTCAGTTTCTGTATGGGCTTGTAAATTTCCTCTTATAGATAGAAGATTATCATTTTCAAGACCTTTTAAGGTAGTTTTATCTAATTTAGAGTTTATTTCTACTTCACTACAAATTACATCAGAATTAGCTTTCGTTTCTTCCGTGTTTTCGTTTTTTTGAGAACACTTTTCTTCAAAAATGAGGTTACTATTTTTCACTATTTCACAGTTTTGATTCAAATCCTTCTCTACAACCACACTAGTAGTGTTTACCTGATTCACAGTTTCTTTAGTGTTTTGTTCATAAGTATTTTCAACTTTGTCCAATAGATTTTCCTTCAATGGCTCAACAGTACTTTCTCTTGGTTTTGGACTGGCACTGATCAAGTGGCTAGGTAACTGAGGAGTTTGAAAATGATCATAATGGTGAGGAGAATAATGATTGCAAAATACAGGAATTGGTCGAACTGGGTAGAGGTGTTTCTTTGTATCAGATACCTCTTTTTTCACATGTTCACTGTCAACTTCTACTGAAGGATTTAAGCTTGCATCATTCTCAGACTTTGAACTATCCTGATCTTTCTTGTCTTTTAATATTGAATCACTTTTTATATCTGCTTTATCACTTGGTAATGAATCTTTACTGTCTGATATAAAAGGATTCCAGAGTTTAGCACGCTTTTCCCCTGAACTTTTTATACTTCCAGAGCTAGACTTAGTTTCTTTTGTAGGTTTATTACTAGCATTTAAAGATTTTTCTTTACTGTCTGCAGGCTCTTTAAGTGCTGAAATGCATGAATGTCCACAAAGAGGTTCACTATAACGGCCAGGAAGACCTAAATGTCCACCTAGATATCGCTGATCAAACTGGTTCCTATATTGTGACACTGGAGAGACAGAGCTTGCTCCTGATGATCTGTAAATTTGATCAAAGGTCAAAGGTGAAGGATTCTGCGAAAATGCAAAGTTTGGACTATGCAGAAGACTTCTAGGCTCTTGTGGACCAAACCCGTATAAAGGCTCTAAGCCAAGAACTGGTAAATCGGTAATTCCTGGTAAATATCTTGAAGGCAAAGGTCTGTAAACACCAGCAGCTAATGACAATGATTCTGAAAATACCGGTCGAATTGAAAAATATCCAGGATCAGAAAAGCTAGAAACACCGGGTGCAAATCCTGGAACAGGCAAGCTCCCAAGAGGAAATGAACTTCGATTTGTGGATGTAAACGAGTCCCATGCATTAAATGGTGGTGGGTAACCAGGAAAATTGGACATAGTTCAATACACAATGGTAAACATTGAAACCGGGAAAATGTTGGCGGAACATGACATCCAGTTATATGTGACTCCTTTCAGTGTAAACATAGAAACCAACCAATGTGTGATTTATCTGCAAGTCCAAGTTACACCATTTGCAAATCTGAAATGAGAAATTAGTCATTCTTCAGAAAATTCAAAAATACAGTTCTGTTAACAAAGCATCTAATTTTTCTTCAAATGCAGATACAAATTCGAGATAATAAAGAGTGCAATTTTCAATAAACTGTATATTGTTTACAAAAATATGAACAACAAATTTTTTAACAACAAACTATTAATTCAAAAAGTTACATTGATGATTAATCTCTTCTAATACTGATATTTCATTTTATCCTGGTACCTACTAAGTCTCATATTTTATTTTATCCTGGTACCTTCAAATTCTTTATAAGTTAGGAACAAGTTTTTTCAATATTATCAAATCTAGTGTCTCTTTTATTCTTTTAGAGAAAAAATTTTACAAGACAGGAAGAAATTGGATTTAAATTGTATAGGTATTCTAAATTGTGAGTCAATACTGAATTAAATGTTGCATATCACTAATTTATCACATAAACCGCAGCGCAGGAGTGTAATAAAGCCATTTAATAAAAACGATATTCAATAGTGTAAATACACTTTGACGTGACATCATTTGCGTTAAATATCAAAATAGCGTTAAAGCGCGCTAATGTTAGTATAACTATATAGGCGCGTCATTGAAAAATTACTCTTTTTAACAGTTTACCGTTCTTTCTTAAAAGTGATAAATTTAATTTTATATTTGTGTAGATCCAATGCGAAATTTATTGAACTTGTTGAATAAAACAATATTATGCTTGCCAGAGGCTCCTATAATATGATTTTATTCAACTCTTTCAATAAATTTAGTATTAAACTTACACTCATTCAATATCCTCTATATATCCATATCCTGATATTCAATTATAGTCACCACAATAAACCCAAATAGTCAACTCACACCAGAAGAGTCATTTAGGTAAACTTTACATTTTTTTAGCCACAGAAATTTACTCCATATAAGGAGAAACAACCGGTTGTTAAATATGAAAGTGTAAAACACCATTACACAGCATCTCTGTTTCATATAAACAACTTATTGGTATTTTAGTTAGACACTGGAACAATATATCTTTTAATAACTACTGTTTTGAAAGCAATTGACACTTATATTTTTTATCAAATTAACTGTACATAAAAACTGGTACATAATATTACGGGACAAGCAACTACTGCCTAGATAGGCAGTCTTATGTTGGCATCCAAATGACTGCCAATCGATTGATAAGCCTGTTCAAATCATGCTGTTATTTTATAAAAGTACATGCACTTATCAAGACAATGGGGGATAATTACATTATGGTATTTGGAGATAATGTCAAACCCCTTTGAAATCAAATGCCTCTGAGATATCGATATATCAACTTTAGTTTTTTCATTACATGAAAATCACCAAAAATGCGACTCATAACCAATTTAGGTAAAAGAGTAAAGTGTAAAACCTCTGGAACATACATAATCCCTTTTTTGAAATTTTGCTTCAGGAAAATATCCTAAATTAACAATTGAATTACTTTGATGAATTTTATAACATGCTATATAACTATCAAAAGGTTAAAATCTTACACCAGTTGGACTTATATTTCTATTATTTTCGCCTTAATCTACAGACAATGTAATGAAAGTTCACAATGATCAACATGCCAAAATGGCTGTGCATGTTTAGATTGGTCCAAAAGATAACATGACACTCCAATTGCTTTTTCACTTACTGTCTCCGATAAACCTTAAAATCAGACAAAATAATTCAATTTAAAGACATCAACCAAGTCTCCTTTTTCACTGTTGCTATCATATTGCAATCTTAACTGAACTTCAATGAAACCAAATATGATGATCATGGATGAACTGACAAAATGCAAGCTATGTATCAATTACATATATCACAATTGCACCCACAATTGTGACTCATCTAATCTGATGTACACAGTGGCTATATAAATAGGTTCATAAGTGTGCAACCGTGTAAACTGCTGGATAACCACACACTTAACCAATTCATATGAACAGGAAAGCCCTAATAAATGTATCTGAAGATGTGAATCCTGCAGATGTTGAGAAACAAAGGCAAGAACACTTCAGCAAAACTTTCTCATTTCAGACTAAAGAGACGTGATTTTTTCAAATTGCAAGACAACATTGATTGCTTACAGTGTAACCATGCACTGTTTCTTGGTTTCCAGGGACGGGAACACACGAGAAAACCACGCCAGATGACAAAGGGCTTGCTGACTGGTAGTCAAATGATAATGAGCTGTGCAGCCTCTGAAAATAAGTCATGTGACCTCTGGGAGCAGTAATTTATAAATTCAACCTAGTTTAATAAAAATAAATTGTGCAATGATTTCATGAAAACTTACGTAATAAACTAATAATATACAATATAAAAAATTTCAGAAATTATTTTAATTAATAACGCATGAGTTAAATGGAATAATATTTTATCTTAAAAATCTATAATTACTTCTCCTGAGAGGAAATGACGTAAAACTCATCCGTGTTTACTTCCGCATTTTGACAAATTAACATTTTCTCTAGAATTTGAGCATAAATCTCAATAGTCAACAAAATGAATCGATTGTTTGGGAGAGGAAAACCAAAGGAACCTGCACCTAACCTTACAGATTGTGTCGCTAACGTAAGTATTAATTTTCTCATAACACTTGGTGTTGAAACGCAAAATAATGCAGTATTTGACATATTTTTTCGCGAGTATTTTGAAATGATTTAAATATCAAGTTAAACAAGTCTTTATCTTTATTTCGAAATCAGAAAAAGTTGCTTTATTCTCCAGGATTATGAATTATTCATGCGATATCATATTCATACCAGGGAAAGTTTCAGAAATTACTTATCTATACCTATCTAATTGGCCAAAGAATCTCAGCTTCAGTGTACCTGTTTATATACTGTGACATGACGTGAACGCTGAAGACAGACCTGTAGGGAAAGTCCACCAATAATCGTGCCAGGAATCTGACACACTTGTATTCATTTATCGATTATGTCATGAAGTAAAGTGAAGCATACCCTGATAAAACTATGGAGGGCGTTCGTTGCCAAAATTCCAGACATGTTATGTGTTCCTTTTGAAAATTACATTTGAAAATGCGAGTGTGTAGGTCTAGCATTTTTGATTATATTCGTGCAAAGCAATTGATATGTCTCTGAATCCAATCTTTTAATTGAAGGCACCCACATTTAAATAACAAGTTTCCGTGTAGATCTTAACAACTGAAGGAACATGGAAAACAACAATAAATTTACAAGTTCATATCTTCCATTGCATGAAATACATAAGCAAGTTTGCACACTTATAGATATCTATCTAATCTACTTACGCCATATGAGGTCTCGTTCAGCTCCTAAATGTCATGCTCGATTGTAGTTGGCGAATAGGGTATTTTAGTGACCGTATTAATATTTTGATGCTTTAAATGGTATAGAACGATATTAAAATAATCGTTTTATCGCAAAATGCACAAGAATTATTTGGGACAAGGGTATTTGCAAATGAAAAATAAGTTTAAATCAACATATGTTATTCTGGTTTCGTTTCGTAACGAGTCTAATCCAAAACTGTAATGCTGCATCAGATGAAAAACAAAAATGTTCAAAAGCGGCTTATAAAGTTTTGGAAGCTAGATCTAATCTCAGCTTAGCATCTTTCTGTAATACTACAACATCTCCGAGTACTGCCAGCCCTCTCACAAGTGTTATAGTTTGTTTGTTTGTTTCATTTTACGCCTTTTCCCAACAGTATTTCAGTCATATAGGCGAGGAGTGTTATAGGCAGGAATAGCTCATGTCATATGTGTGAATGAATAGTGTAAGAAAAAGTAAAAACCTGAAAATGAACATTATCACTTATTTACATTATCGATTATTGATCAACAGAAAAATATCAACGATACATTGATATCGTCTATATCGATGACAGCTCTATTATTTACCGGTCTATATCTGTATAACTGCCATTATTCAAGTACATATTGTTTATAATACATTTACTTTTAATATATAATCTTCGACATAGCCTGTATACTGGTAGTTATTTTTTCAAATTTTAATGCACTCAGCTACGGCAAGTATAAAACTTTACCAAACACATATGTATGAAACATTGTCAAATGCTTCTGTTGTTATGGAAGGGGGAGGCTTTAATCGATTCACCATGCCCATTCAGTTTAATACCTAGTCATGAGTCTAGTTTTCGTATAACAGGTATTATGATTGAAATGGCGCCTGCAGTTTGATTGTTTTACCGAAAAACTTCATTTATAAATGTTAAGAGAAATATCATTAGATCATGATAATCATACTGGCCTGACTCAAACTTTCGCTCGCAAATGCAAGCAGGCTAGTGGATTTGTCAAGGCCTGACAACGTTCCTTGGAAGCCGGTTCCAAAGTATTATAATGGGAGAAGATTATCAAACATAGAAAAACCACATATTAAATGCCAACATAAACAGGATATCACATAAAGCAAACAAAAACATATAGAAACATAAAAGTCAAATCATGAGCCATTAATCCATAGCTTATCAGACATGCTAAACCCCAGCTTAAATATATATGGTTCTCTCCTCACAGTGACACCGAAACACTAATAGATAAAATCAGAAATGTTTTAATACGAGCTGCCTTAATGCATCAAGCTACACTTCAGTCAGACCTCTACTGTAACAGACATACACCCACTCCTTAAATCTCAGTCGGATTGAACTCTGAAATATAGATGCTAGGTTATCCCTTTCCTAAAAGATTCACCATAGTCTGATTGCAATGGATCCCCTTTCCCAAACATCAAACCTTGGACATCCTCTGAGCTATATTTTATTTACAGCAACTTAGGACAATAATATTAGTTATATTACAAATTCCCATTCTTTTCTAGGTTGAACCACTTACTATATAAAATACTTATAAAATTTGATTATATGCACATCTGCTGTCCATTTATAAAATTAAAATAATGCATTTATAAACTAATTTCATTTTTTTTCTCAAGTAAAGGGAGTTAGCTATATTGTGAATTTGTTATAAAGACTCTTGACAGGTTTTTATGGCTTGGCAGAGCTTTAAATATAAATTGCTACAATAACATGTACTTCTTTTGAATTTAGATTGACTCAAGAGGAGAATCTATTGATAAGAAAATAGCAAGACTTGATGCAGAATTAAAGAAATATAAAGATCAAATGGCAAAAATGAGAAATGGGCCTGCAAAGGTAAGAATGCACTGCATATTAGTACAAATTCTTCTTTGATATATATGTATCTGTCACAGTTAATACAGACCTTAACTTACAATGATGCTTAAAGATTAGAGATATCATATAATAATTAATATACATACAAAATTATCAGTCATGATTTGGATAAGTTTTAGATTGTTGCCTTAAATAATAAATAAGTAAAAAGTAAAATGTTTTTTTTTATGTTTTATTTTTTTTTGAAAGTTGTATCATGTATGTATGAATTATTTTAGTTATGTATTATGTATATTATTCAAAATGTAGCAAATGCTTGATTTTTTTGGAATCTAAATGATATGCTTCTATTTCTTTTAAGAACACAGTGAAACAGAAAGCTATGAGAGTTTTGAAACAGAAGAAAATGTAAGTACTTGAAAGATCTACTTGTTCTGTTAAATTAGGATTAACTTCTATTAAATCAGCTAAGAAACAACAATGATCTCGGCAAAATCTTAATTGTATGCATGAACATGTCATGAAGCAGTTGTAATAGATATAGTGTCTTCAAATCATAAAGGTAAGTTAAAGAGGAAACTTGAATGTGTAGACATACTAAAGGCTCATCACACATGATCAGCAGTGTATTTCTTGCACTTTAAGAGTTGATGTACTTATAAAAAAAAATGTTTGTTAAAGTACTTGTGTTACTTTGCCTTGTATCTAGTGAAAATTAGGACAGTAATATTATATAAATAACACACAGGTTTGTGAGTAGCAGTAATAAATATTTTTACTGTTGCTTACAAATCTGTTTGTTATTTATAATTTATTTTATTACCCTGAACAAATACTTCATTTGGGGCATTTATAGGTTTCTATTTTTCACATTTTTATCTTGAAAAGGTACTGTTAATACGTAACAGTACAAAATTTTTAGCCACATAGTAACTTGAATTAACAGTAAGAGTAACTCCAATTGGCCTATTGGAAATTTACATTACAAAATAGTGAGGGTTATAAAAAAGATATAAGTCTTGTCCTGACAATCAATATTATACATGTAATTTGTTTTTAAGGTATGAACAGCAGCGAGAAAATTTGTCAAACCAGTCATTCAATATAGGACAACAAGACTTTAATATTCAACAACTCAAAGACACCAAATCAACTGTAAATATAATATAATTATTGTTTTTGCCAATCATAGTAAAACATGTTGTGTGTGCAGGTGGAAATTTTGAATTATGATTATTTGAGACATATTTTTAAAAGAGCTCAAACATTCATTATTAATGTTTGCTACAGCAAATACTTTATTGTTTGCTACAGCATATACTTTGATATTTAGCCCAGGGAAAGAAATGGCACAGGAATTGTAATAGTTCTTAATAGTAATGAATGCAGCTTAATGAATATATTTAGCAGTCCCTTCAGTAATCGTTGATTGTATAATGTAAGGTATACTAGTATAGCATGTTAATGTTTCATGCTGTACTATATTTTTTGACATTTCCACCTGTATCACATTATGTTTGTTACTATATTTGGCATAAATGGACTGTGCGCATGTTGTCAAAACTTGCATGTTGTATGTGATATTCACAGGTATGAGCAGCAGAGAGAAAATTTAGCAAACCAGTCTTTTAATATTGAACAACAACATTTTAATATCCAAGGACTTAAAGATACAAAAGCAACTGTAAGTTATTCAATTGTTGACACAGAGAGTGGTCTCTTTGACGGTTTGTCAATCCAACTAGTTTAGAATTTTGTATCTATTTTTAGCTCGACTATTCGATAAGAATAAGTAGAGCTATTGCAGTCACCCGAGCGTCGGCGTCGGCGTAACCACTTATGTTAAAGTTTTTGTAATAGTTCAAATATTTTCAAAGTCCATTGACATATGGCTTTGAAACTTTGCACACTTGTTCACCATCATGACCCCAACCAGTAGACAGGAGGAGGTAACTCTATCAAGCATTTTGACAGAATTAAGCCCCTTTTTCGACTTAGAATTTATGTTAAAGTTTTTGTAATAGTTCAAATATTTTCCAAGTCCATTGACATATGGCTTTGAAACTTTAGTAAGTAAGTAAGTAAGTAAGTAAAGTCTTTATTTAATGAGGCTACACATTTGGTTTCCCAATCTTCCATGTGGGCCTCAAAAGCATAAAATATAATAATATATTACCTTATGAAACAATAAATAATTAAAAACACAATAAATATTCAAAATACATGTACAATGCATGAACATACATTACTTTACACTAAATCTATGTAAGATCAAGGTACTTGAGAGAGATTTCAACTGATATAGGATGCTTGAAATTTTCCAACAGTTTCAGATTTACGTATGGAGAGAGGGATATTATTCCATAGTTTGGGGCCCGAGTAAGTCAGAGATTTTCTAAAAATTTCTTTTTTTGGTTTAGGAATAAATAAATCTGAATTTTTTGCTGACCTTAGGTTACGTTCATGTTTTTGGTGAATAAATTGAAATTTGTTTTTCATGTACTTTGGAAATGAAGCATTGTTTAATGATTTATACATAATGACAGCTTTCTTGTATCTTATTCTTTCATCAAATTTTATCCAATTTAATTCATTAAATAATTCAGTAGATGGGGCATCATAACTTTTGTCAAGAATGATTCTTGCAGCTCTTTTCTGAAATTTTATTATATCCATAATCTGTTCATTGCTACAGTTTCCCCAGACTGTACAACAATAATCTAAATGTGGTAAGATATAAGCATTAAAGAACAGTTTTCTTGTATTTAAATCAAGGTACTGTTTTATTCTTAGAAGAAGGTACAACTGAGTATTGCATTTCTTTAACGTCTTATCTACTTGGGATTTCCACTTAAGGTTATTGTCAATATGAACACCTAATAACTTTTCAGTTTCAGTAAATTCAATTTCATGTTCTTGCAGGTGTAGTGGTTGTAATTGTTGTTTATTATTATTATTGGATGACAGGTTCATTGCTTTTGTTTTCTTTGCGTTTAGCATCATTGCATTCTGTTTGCACCACAGATTTACATTGTCAAGGTCAGCTTGGAGTTTATCATGTAAATCTTGTATAGAGAGACCTGCTGCTGTAAGAGTAGTGTCATCAGCAAAAAGATCTGCCTCTGAGGTTTTCAAATAGAGTGGTAGATCATTTATATATATGATGAAAAGCAAAGGTCCAAGGACAGATCCTTGAGGTACCCCTGATATAACTGATGCTGATTTTGATAGGTTGCCAGATACACTGACCTTCTGTGATCTATTTTCAAGATATGATGTAAACCAAGTAATTGCAGAAGAAGAAATTTGATAAAAATGAAGTTTTTGGATGAGTAACTTATGATTTACAAGGTCAAATGCCTTTGACAAGTCAAGAAAGATTGTGCCAACAAGCTTTCCATCATTTATTGCCTTGATCCAATTGTCAACAACATTTGTCAATGCAGTTTCACATGAATGTTTTGTATCACAATCATTACCCCAACTTGTAGACAGGAGAAGGTAACTCTATCAAGCATTTTGACAGAATTATGCCCCTTTTTCGACTTAGAATTTATGTTAAAGTTTTTGTAATACCTCAAATATTTTCAAAGTTCATTGACATATGGCTTTGAAACTTTGCACACTTGTTCACCATCATTACCCCAACCTGTAAACAGGAGGAGGTAACTGTATCAAGCAATTTTTTTACTATCAAGCACTAAGAATAGTCGAGCGTTGCTGTCCTACCGACAGCTCCTGTTTCATTTTTTCTTTCTTTAGACTGAAAATAGTAATGTTTGTTTCTAGTTTGCCTCTAAAATTTAAAGCCAAGCCAAAACATGTTATTGCCTATCATACATACATGAAAATCTTTTTGTAAATAAACCAATTGGAGGAATGCTTAATATAATTATAAGAGAAACTAGAAACAGGCATACTTTTAACCTACACTGTACTATTTTAACTCACCAATGGGATAAATCCCCTGTATAAGACACTATTTAGATTTTAAACCTCTAACCTTCTGAATTTTTGTAAAGGCTTTGCCAAGCTATAAATTTGTAATATTTCCAGTTAACGTTAAAGGGATTTCAATATTAAAATAAAAATTGAGCTACTATCATGATTAGAACCTGGCACTATACTCTGGGCAAAGGTTAATCACTTTTGGTTAGTTAATTAAGTAGATCAGAAATATTTTACTTTGACTCCTGTATTTCTGTTTGTGGATATAAGAACATGTACATGTAATCTGCTGAGATGACCAAGTGTATAAAATGATGGGGGAAACATATTTCATAATTTTTTATGCACATAAATAAGGTGCTTCCAGGTTTGACTTGCAGTGCTTACTAACTTTTATATAATTTAACTTTTCTCACTTTATATGTAAACATTCATTAGTATTCTTTTATATGACCCTTTCATAGTTTGTTTCATTCTTTTAACCAAAATGAAGATTTGTATAATGTAACTTACTTTAGTACAAATATTGAAAACAGAAAACATACTTTGTTCTTGTATGTTCAGATATAGTAACTAGTACATGTATAAATTCATCACAATGAACACAGGTTAGTTTAGTGTCACTAAATTTGCTACAGAAATTGTTACTCTTTCCTTATAATTTTTCCCTTGTTTTGATAAATAATATATAGCTATTCAAAGAACACGGAAACTTTGTCTGAAAATAAAGGGAAATATTATTTTCTGTTATAAAGACTTTATTCTACAAATGAAAGTCTTGTGATCTTTCATCACAATATTCTGGTCATTTCATATAGGTTGATATGTTCATAACATTGTTGGTGACATATATTGATTTCCTATAACTTCAGTATCATATACTTAATTTGCTGTTTTGTTATTTATGTGAAAGTGTAACACAGTTGAATCATTAATTTTTAATTACTATAGATGTGCATGTATATACATACATGTGTATGATTAATAAATAAACAAAATAGGTTACCATTGAGATAAGTTGTTATTGTAATTCTCCATTGCAGGTTGATGCAATGAAAGTTGGTGTTAAAGAGTTTAAGAAGGCGTACAAACATGTTAACATAGACCAAATTGAGGTAAGTCTATACTGAACATTATTTAATCTTTCCAGTACATCAATCAGCGTAACAAACATAAAATGCCACTGAAATATTTCACTTTCAAGATTAAAAGATTTCTCAGACTGCTCCATATGTTTTTGCTCCTTGTGAAATTTTAGTACATATTTCAGCAGATATTTTTCAAGTTTAACAATTAGAACTTGGGAGATTAATCATTAAAATGTTATTGCTAATCAAAACTGAGTATTCAAGGTCAGCAGTGTGTTGTATGTATAGGACTTATACCAAGGACTACTCCCACATATCAATTACTCTCTTAAATAAAATTACCTTGATTTGCAAATTGCAATGACAGTATTGTTTTTCATAAATGAAGCTTCATAAATGAGGAATATGTTTTAGATTTGTTGGTGTTTTTTGGGGCCATTTTCATATGCTATCTGTGCTTTTCCTTTCTGTTATTTTCTTGCACATGTGATTATATGTTGCTGTATTCCTTGTATAGATTTCAAAATATGCCTTCACTTAATAGTCTGGTATTTATATCCATGATTGTTTTTTGTTTGTTTTTCAATCTCTTATTTTGTATCTACTGGTGGACCATGGTGTAGTGGTTGCTCACTTTATATAACTTGCCTCTCACAACTGTGGATCAGACTTTATGTAGCAACTAAGGAATCTTAAATGACGGCGAGGAAGGTATAGTAGGTACAGTAGGTCGGTGGAGAATTTTCCTCCAACAGTAAAGTTTGAAAGTCATTACATGGCAATGACACTATGTTACTTCAACCAAACAAAACATATACGTATACATTCCTCATTCTGTCATATATATAACAGGATCTTCAAGATGAGTTAGAGGACCTTACAGAACAGTCCAGTGAGATACAAGAAGTAATGGGAAGAAGTTACGGCATGCCAGAATTAGATGATGATGAGCTGGAAGCTGAACTTGATGCATTAGGGGATGAGATAGGATTGGACGAAGACACGTCCTATCTGGATGATGCTGTGTCAACACCATCAGTACCTACCAGTGATCCCGGCGCAGAAAGCACAAGGGTATGCTTTTTTTCTTTTCTTTTTTTTTTCAAATTTTTTAAAGCTTCTGATTTTATTTTTGTTATTTTGAAAAGTGAAGAAGATTTTTAAAAGCATGTACTCATTTTCACTACATTATAACAACTCTATCATTAATGAAATAGGAAACATACAAATACATCATTTAATGTTAAGGTCACTATCTGTTTACTTACAGTAAAATTAAATTGATTCCATTATTATATGGATGATTATTCCTGAAAAAGTTGTAACAGTTATTTAACACACATGAATATTGTACGCTTACAGAATAAAATGTTCTGGAACAAAATATTATTTGCTATTTTAATTAGGGTTTTATCCATTTAGTTCTTGTTTTGTGTATGTGTCATTCGCTTTTAAGGCAGCTATCTACCATGTTTATTTCATACAAGCATTTTGGTGGTATTCTTCTTTAAAATTCAAAGCAGATATATAGCTTTACACATTTTAAGAAAGAAAAATGGATAGTTCTTCAGTGGTAACCAGCATGTACCACATATAATACTTGGAAGAGCATTTTGTGTTTTTCGTTAACTAATGAGACTTGATAAGTGATTGTGTGTCTTCAATAGAAATATTAGTAAATATTTACAAATATGTTATAATTAACATTTTCACATTATTTTAGGACAGTGTTCCGGTGGATGAATTTGGATTGCCTCAGATTCCTGCCAAATAGTTGAGCCTCAAGATAAAACTGTTGTGATATTTAATTAATTGTGAAGGAAGTGACTTTACACATTCATAGTTCATTGTGCCAATTTATTGTGCAAAACAACTGATTCATTTCTCATCAACAAATCAAACTGCTTCAAGATAATTATCATGTTGATCTTTATATGTCTACACATTAATGTGGCATATAACATATAGGCTACACACTATATGCTATGTAAGAATTTGATTGTATCAATACAGCATATAAGGGATAGATTACACATTGTACGCCTGTTCAAATTTTTATGTGTAAATATTCTATTGACATAATGTGTTTGATAGACTATACTCATACCTTCATATGTGTAAACTACCTACATAATGTTACATAAATATGCATGAAATTGTTATTTATATTTTGGATATTTTTGAACACCCACAATGAAACAGAGATCTTGTAATATATGTACCGGGTATGTAATGTATAATTATTTTTCAATGAATGCTTCTGAAGAAGAAATGTTTGCCTTTTCATCTACTGTTTACATCTTCATGTTTGTGCAAGATTTCCTTTTTAAATATATGAAAAGAATTTGACTGTTATTTACATAAATGTATAACTTACAGTGATTTTTGTTAGGATTTTTGTTGTTGTTTTTAATATAAAAAGCTGTATTATAAAGCATATTGTTTATGTTGAAAAAATAAACCATTTTCTATATTTTATAGCATTGTAAAAACATGGTCATGTTATAAAAAATGTCATTCAAAGTAACATAATTTTCTGAAAAATTTACATCTCGTTATTCAAAAGTAATAATCTAAATGGTATATAGTTATCACTTACCCATCTAAAATTATGTAATTGAATTTCCTCCCTTTATATTAAAAATATTAAAAACCAGTCCAGTATAAGTTAGCCCTTTATCAGCTTAATGTTTTTTTTTGGAGTTGTCCTACTTTGAATTTACAACAGTGTAAGGGTCTTCAATATACAAATTGACCTACCAACAGTATATAGAGCCTGAATGTGTAAGCTGACCTGACAAGAGCCATCCGGTTAGATTAATAGGTAGAGCATTTGACTGTGAATCAGGCAACATGGGTTCGATTCCCAGTCGGTGTAGGTCACTTTCGTTATGATAAATCATAAAATCCTTTCTACAGTCATTTGCACTGTACTTCTTCAGTCATTTGCACTGTACTTCTTCAGTCATTTGCACTGTACCTCTTCAGTCATTTGCACTGTACCTCAGCGATGACATGTATCATTTCCTTTAGAAAGTGAAGGCACCTAGTAATTGGAAAATAACCTGATTTACGGTATATTACAAGTTAACATATAAATCACAGTATCAAGAGTCTTCAGTATGGTAAATATATAGTAGACTGTCTTAGATAAGTGTGTTTTTTGATCAGTTAAACTTTCTTTAGTTCATGAATATTTTACAAACTCAAAAATCTTGTTTTGTACATTTTCAGTTGCAGGAAAAATATTATAAACTGTTAAGTCTACATTTGAATGAATGACCTTTCACATATAGGTGCTTGACTTGATTTCATTGATGAGAAATTATCTACATTCATGTATATCTGTTATATTTTAGTCATTTACATCTTTAAATGATCAAATTTTATGTAGTTTTTTTTTTTTAATTTGACAACAACATAAAAGGTGAACATAAAAAGTGCTATGTACATTATATAAAAGCATTAAATAAAAGCATATCATCTGCTGTAATACAAGTTTTGTTGTTGTATTATTTTACAACTTGTATATGTTGTCCATCCCAAGTACTATACAAGAAGTTCAAAGAAGTTACTTAATGGATAAAATAAACACTGTCAATCTTATTATTGTTAATAGTTCTTTTGTACAAACATGATTTACTTGAAAAAATAAATTTTGAAATATGTTTATTGTATTTTTATTTCTTTATCTAATTAACATGGACTATTGCACATTAGCAATTTGCATTTTAAGTTGAAATTTTCGTGGTTTCTGAGAAGTTTTTCAGCACTTCTGTTATGATTAGTATAAAGATTTAAAGTATTGTCTGCAACTTCATTTCTCATTAACTTAACTTTATTTGTCATCATTTTTTGTTGTTAATTTATGCCTTTTTCGAGTTATAATTGTTGTGTTGGAAAATTTAACTCATACATGAACTGAAAATTTCTTGTTTGAGATTTGCTGCCTGTAAAGTTCTCTCTCAAACAACCACTAAACAAAAACTCACTTAAAACTCCTCATATATCTTAACAAGCACCATGACCTATATAATAATAATAATTCTTGCATTCATTTTTACCGAATTTTTTTATAGTTTTCTGCAATGTTCTTTTATAACCATCAAGATTGAGAAATGTTTTCAGTAGGGGTGTCACGGTTAGAGAAAATGCTTACAGTTTAAAAATAATAACGTGTTAAACGGCAATATTTGCTATAGATTAGACCCAGATTCATAATAATTCACTTATTAACTTGAAAGTTGTCTGAGTTCAATCAATATCTCCCAAAGAATGCCTTAAGATCTGTCTAAATATGAAATTGTCACTTGGATTCATTTATTATGAAAGATGCAAGACACAAGCACAACTGGAACAAATTGAAGTCCTTGATACTACAAATGTCTTGTAGGCCTTTGTCTATAAAATAAATCCACCTCAGTTCATATTTTGTCAAAACAACTGCTATGTTATCAAACTTCTGCATTAAATATTAACAGCAGAGTGGCCAAACAGACATTAGAATTATCAGAAAAGACAAAAGACATTAAAAATTGATCTGGATTGATGCTATTTTTAGCATTTTCTGCCTCGCATTTTGTCCAAAACTTGTCGCAAGAGACTTGGTTATGTTGGCACTGAGGAGCGCAATGTAATGTAAAGTTCACAAATGAACTTATTTCATGCAATATAAGATTGAACTTGCATTAAATAAAAAAAATAATGTAAGTTATGATACATGTATATAGAATGTTGGCTGGGAGTTATATCCAACATTATTTATGATACAAGATACCCCACAATCTCATCTGATGTAATTGTTGCTTGAGTGATGTAGAATAATGCAAGAACTTAATGTGTGCAGTAAATGGTATAATTATGGCCATAAATTGCTCTAGTTTGTTAGAAAATGTAATTTTGATGGATTTATCAATTGTAAATATATGACTCCAACTTTGGGAAGGAGGGGGAAGTGAACCAAGTTATTACTTGTTTGCCCTGGGACTGCAATGTCAATGCTATGGTTTTTTTGTCAAGATGGCCCTGATACATCAAAACTGCAGAGCTAAAGTTTATAAATGGCAGATATTTAAACTTTTGAATGATTCCACAGAGTAGGAAGCACCATTGGTGCTTCGCTTCAATATTTGTTTCAGTCCACAAACTTAAACAAGAGCTGTCGGTAGGACAGCAGCGCTCGACTATTCTTAGTGCTTGATAGTAAAAAAAGCCTTGATTAAAAGGTAAAATTTTCTCAGTAAAGAAAAAGGCAAAAATTTTCTTTCAATCCATATTTCATTTATAGGCATTGGAGAGAGTCCTATTATGCTGTCAAAGACACAGGCAAAAGTATCGGACCTGAGAAGAAAAAATATGACCAGATTGATAAAAAAAAAACCTGTGTTCATCTTAAAAGTGTCAAAAAAAAAAAAAAAAATGTATATAATGACCCCCTTTAAAAATATACTATAAGTTAAGAGTTAAGACTATAACTATAATTTTGATAGTGGAAAATTTTTTTTTTATATAATTTCATCGGTGGTTTTGTATATGGTACCTTATAGTAAGCCTTAGAGTGTTGAATTTTTTTTTTTCAGGGTTGTAGTAGGGGACCAGGGGCAGATAGGGGTGGGGTGTCCAAACACTGATACTGCCACCTGTGCATACAACAGGGCAATTTGTGCAATGTTTGTGCGCATACATCATGATGTTTTTTTTAATAGCATATTAAATCAATCTTGTATTGAAATATTTGACCTAAAAATAATGAGATAATATATCGCATATAAATCGTAAATTGCTATTAGAACAATATACCTAAGACGAAAACTCACAGTTACTCCCCTTTTATCAAAATATTTGACAACATGAGGACTGACAAGAAATGGTCAGATGCTGTACTCAAATTGGTTTCCGAGTTAAACAATTTTGATTATGCAGGTAAGTTTTCCCCCATTTAATACTGGTTGGGGACCACCAAAACCGGACAACCATCAAAACCGGACGGCCCCGAAAATGCTTAAATTTAGTATTTTCTTTGTTCAGTGGTTGTCAGTCACTTTTTCATCATCAATAAATGCATGTTTCTTCTAAAATTAAGTAAATAAATTTATTTCAACCTCCGTAAATGGTAATATTAAATGTCTATTTCAAGAGTGTTGACGTTAAAATTTGGGGGGTCCAGAAATCAATGCCTGACCTCAAATACCAGTTATAATCATTTGCAGGGTAAACAATAGAATATCCAAAACTTCAGCATTTGTTGCTGAAATATTGTATATCATGTTAAAAATCAAAACACCCAAGCTTTTACCTGATTTAAAACAAGTAATGTACAAATCTGTCCGGACACATGGTCCTGTAGTGTAGACAATTTAGGTAATTTTGAGACCCCCCTTGTCGAGCCTCAGATATTAGTGTCAATACAATCAGAAATAAACAAACTAGTTTGTTAGTTAGAAAAAGAACCTAGCTGAACTGTGTGAATTTTTTTAGCTGAACTGTGTGAATTTTTTTAATCTCTAGATTTAAATTTATGAAATATGTACGGTAAAATGTTCAAAAAGTGTCCGGTTGATGGTCCCCGACCAGTACAGTTTTCATTTCAATATTCACTGTAGACACAACTCACGGATTGTGCCGATTTGAGTTATTTTTTATTCCATTATCTTGCACAAAATTTAGTTTTTATTTTGACAGGTTGATAAAAACAATGCTGAAAAATCTCTTGGATTAGACCCCTATGTCTATTTCAGAAGTAAAAATTGAATATAATACTCTTAATAAGTGGTGGTGGTATTGGTAGTTTTCACTCCCCATCACAGCAATAAGCCACATTGAATTTACCAGAGCACAGTTCACCCACCGCATTGTTCCTTGGCAGACAGTTTACCAGTATAAGTTGCCTTCACTTATGCATGGAACTGATAACATCATTCTGTACATACCACAGCTGAGGTACAGTGTGAATGACTGTAGAATTGGTTATATGATCAATCACAATGAATGTGACCTGCAACATCCAGGAATCGAACCCAGATTGCCCGATTCACAGTCTAACGCTCTACCTATTGAGCTATCCGATTGAACTTTGTATGTACTCCTGGTTTAGTCCTGGGGTCAATTCTGGGATACCCCCCCCCCCCAAAGAAAAAGAAGAAAAAAAATAGCTCAGTATAATAAGATTGGAATGTCAGGTTATCACTACTTGGGTGAGATAACCCTCTATTTGATGACTAATAATATCTGTCATAAGTTGTGGTTCGGACCGGGGGGAAACCAGGTGAATTTTTTTTTAGCACAATATTATGTTTGCTGTCTTATTTATCTTTACATTATAAATCAAAGTCTCTATTTTTGTTTCTTTTTAATAATTCTATTATGCTTGGTAATATGTTCCATTGTTGCATTCTTAATTTTAACCAGGTAATTTTTGATGATTCATTACTTGGCGAATATGATATCTCAATCTTATATTTGGTCATTTTTCAGCTTGGAATTGATAAAAAATGTGTATTTTCTTTTGGGACTATTCATTAGACCCAGACAAAGAAGGAAACAAATCCGAGGTTATATTATACATACCTTCATAAATAGCCTTGTTATATTACAGATCCAAGTGGAAATAGAGCTCACACTGGTTGTGTACCTTTCTATATTGATGGTAACAGAGTTGGTGTTATACCAGCACAGGTTATGAAAGAACTACCAAATTATCCAGACGTGTTCAAGATTTGTACTGAACAGGTACCTGTGATGTATTGTATGAATTTCTTTAATTACACCAACATCTGTATAATTGACTTATTTATTTTAGCGCTGTTTTTTCTTTGTTACTGATATTTAAGTAATTATTGTCACCAGTCTATGTACATGTACAATTACATTGAATATTATTATAGAAAAACGCATTAAATTTAAATGAAAAGTTTTCAAAGTTTCTAAGTTTGAAGATTAGCAATGTGACCTCATTATACTATTAATAGTGCATGTATGTACATGTATTTGGTATTAATATTTTAATTTTTAACTGATTTATAATACTAAATACGAAACAAAAATGTAAAGAACTACCTATTAAATCTACAATTCTTAAAGTTTTTTTTTGTAGTAATTTTGTACATTTCATTATTTTGCACATGTGCATGAATTGTTTGTTGATTTTTATGCCTTGATTTTTGGATAAACCATTTTCACAATGATATAAATTGCAATATCTCCTCACTTTATAATAACATATATTATGTTATTGGCATTGTAATAATTATAATTTCAGTCTGGTCAATGTGTGTATTTAAGTGAGCAGTTATCAACTGAAGTAAAGAAGTCAGATGTGTTTGAGAGAGTTCTAATGGATCTAAGAAAACAAGAAAAATTTGTTACACTAAAAGGATGGAGAAATGAGGTAAAAGTTCATTCTACTATAGTTAATGTTGTTGATCAGGTACAGACTGTTTCATGTAATGTATGGTGTTGGTAAGAATATCGAAGTGTCTGCTTGATACCTACTTTGGGGATATTAAGATGTATATTTAAAGTAAGTCAGTCAACAGTATAATTCCTGGTCAGAGTGCACATATGTAAGGTTGGCTTGGCTCTTTACTGGTGGTATTAAAAGCTTATCTTTAAAGGTTCCAGTAGGTTTAGAGATAAACATGTTAAATGATAATGACCTCTGACCTTAAAATCATATCTTCTGTTCTTGCCTGATGTCAAACATTAAAAAAATTGTATAACAATTATGATGACAGAACTTTTCCAGATATGCTTGATAAGTTCTAGGTATAGTTTTTGTAGTCCATACTGTTATGCTTACGTTCTTATCTATTTAGAAGCACTTCTATAGCTGTCAAAAGAAGATATTTGTGTCAATTAAACTGGTCTCAACTTTGTTGAAATATATGGAATAATGGACTTATGTCAATATATATTTTTGCTCATAAGAAATATCAGAGCCTGTGTAAAGAAGATTTCCTATATTTCAGAAATACAGTATATTCTATAAACTGGGGGAACCTCCAATTTGTCATGTGGAGAGAGCTGGTTGCCGTAAGATTATTTCTAATTTAGTTAAAAATAGCAGGGGGCTCTCTGTAAAGAGTTAACTCTATACAACAACAAGATTTTTTCTTCCATTCTTTTCCACTCTACTTTACCTCTTTGGAGCAACACCACTAAGCAACAACCAAAATAATTGTCTCTAGTAGTGTTGTTCTGCACAGGTTATACTGACAGTATCAGATTTGAAGCATGACCAATTCATTGTGTGTCCTAGGTTCAATCCTGTCTCTGGCAACATTTATAGTTATATCCCAAAGAACAAAGAGGTTTAAACAAGTAGAAATATATTGTATACAAATTTGACTATAAAATACATTTACTTAGGGTGTCAGAACATGGTGGTCCGAGGCAGGGCTTGAATTTATCTTCTATGATTCTTGCAAATTTACATGTACTGTACTTTAACTGGCAGCTTGCATTTAATATTAACATGTATATAATTTCTTTAATGATGTTTATTGCTACTGACCATTTTCAATTTTTCCTGGTGTTTAGTGAGTGCAAGCCATGCTGTTGGTACAAATACATGGCAGGATTAGATTAATGTTCCCCAAAATAATTTTATAGATTACTGGTAGACATGTTATTTATTATCATGGTAGCACTGCTTTCCTTTCAGCATTATTTGGCTTTATTCAATATGGTGTACATGTCAATGGTTACACTTATAAAGATGGAGAATTGAAGATGTGGGTTGGAAGAAGATCCAAAACAAAACAAACTTTTCCAAATATGCTTGATAACATGGTAAAATAAACAAATCCTGATTGGGCTATTATAGATCATTTTTTGGTGTAAAAAAATCACATAAAGAATATTTTTCATGTCTAGTGTTAGAATTAAAAGACTTTTTTTATGAGTTTATTATCAGAATCCTTGATATTTTGATTTCCCTTGTTATTCCCTGGAAAGAAATAGAGCCTGTGCTGCAGGGTGATTACTCCACCTGCTTCGCTCAATACAGACAGCATTGGATTAGATATCCAGGGGTTGATGGTTTGATCCTTGAGGGAGGCGTAATTTCTCAATGACAATTCATCTCCGACATAGAGACATATAGTTACTTGTCTGTCACCCGGATTTAGAAATTATGTGGGATAAGTAGATGGTCTCTTGTGGAGAATTTGGTTAAGGTCAGGTCATATAGTTGCTTTTTGGCATGACAGGTCTAGATAAGGTCATATGTTGACTTTCAAGTACATTGTATTATTGGTTAAATTTAGGTGATATGGTGGTTAAACTTGCTGTAGTAAAGAGTGGATTCTTGAAAAAAATTTTGCTATTTCATTCTATATTGTTTTTATGCCCCCGGGCATATAGTAAGTGAACCGTCCGTCCGTCTGTCCGAGCGCACGAGAGGGTTTATGTTGGGAACTGAATACCCAACAACTACCAATCCTACTCACTCCGTATTTATTGTTGGGTACAGTCGACTCTCGTTATCTCGAAGTCTTCGGGACTGTCAAAAAATATCGAGATAACGAAATGTCGAGATAAACGTATGAGGGTTTAAACCTGTCAAAAACTAATTTTTACAGAAGACATGCACATACCTTATAAGTCAAATAAGTACGACGTTTCATTATCTGGTGTCAATCCTTAAAATAAATATTAACAATTTGTTACAGAATTAAGCGGATGTTTACCAGCGGAAATACAGCATTTATCTGCTATGTGATTAAGACGCATGGTGAGGTTTACTCAGTTATAAACCGCTAAAACAAAAACGTTGTTTTCTAACTTTATTTATTTATTTAGTGTTTTAACATTGCATAATAAAACACATATAAACTACATGAAATCTTTTCATAGCAATCATTTTGTGAGAGTAATAGCACATTCATAAAAGCACACAATTTTTGAATAGTAATCAAGTTTATTTAATTTACCGATTAAAAGATAACAAGTTTACAAACTGATATCACTTGCAGTAAAGTTTATTTAAATGATAGCATACAGTATTAAACACATTTTCTCAATAATGTATTTATATTGACACTATTTCATGGACTTTTAAAGTAATAATGAATTAAATACAGTGTTCGTATGTTTTATACATATCGGAAAATTCACTCATTTTCGACATAAGTCAATCAACACGCTAATTAGATTAACAATTATTTCAAAACACCTTGACTTGTTACAAACATATCATCATCAATTATTATGACATGCGCTAAATTTGAGCGTTAACCGTCCCCTTTGTGTTTTTCACACCTCTGCAAGGGGCAGACGAAAAATTATTTGTCGAGATAAACAAAGGATTATAATAAATAACTGTTGGAGCTGAAATATCACATCGAGATACTGAAAAAAATAAAAATAAAAATATCGAGATAAAGAAATATATTCAATTTAGATAAAGAAGGGGAAAAAAACGGGACTTTCAGAATTTCATCGAGATAACGAAATCTCGAGATAAGCGATGTCGAGATAACGATAGTAGACTGTATTTTTATTGAATTTTGATGTATTGTTGGGTACTTTTTTACACAGTAAAATACCCAACAAAAATACAAATGTAAGGATGTACGTCCGTCCATCTGTCCATGCAAACATTTTGGGTTAAGGGGCTATATAACAGTAAAGAGAACAAAAGAGAACAATAGGTTAATTCTGTAATCAAAGGGTTTAGGGGCTAGTAGCCCTTAAGAAAACAAAGAAAATAACAAAGAAAATAGCCCCTAAACCCAAAATGTTGGAACGTTCGTACCAGGTTAACCAAGAATGGCAAGTTGGATTTTTCTTAAGTTCTACCTGTACCAATGGCTTCATAATTTACACACTGACTAATCCATACAAAGTATATGATCTGGGCTAGTTACATAACTATGGCTTCCATTTGCACCAAGTTATGGCCCTTTTCAGCACTTAGAAAATGAATAATGGTTAACCTAAACCGGCAAGTTGGAAATATCTTATGTTCTATCTGAACTAATGGCTTAATAATTTTCACACTTACTTATCAATACAATGTTCATGATATTGCCAAGTTATATAAATGTGCCGTCCATTTTCCCAGTAATTTCCCTTTTTATCACTTTGAAAATAGGACCTTGTATGGTTAACCTATTCCGCCAAGTTGGATTTATCAAAAAATTTCACCTAATTACTTAATTTATTTAATGATATCTTTGATATTTGGTAGGTGGATACCTTTAATGGTCCTCTAATTTTTTGTGGCGTTAGGCGTCTCTAGGTCAAGGTCAAGGTCACTTGTGTAAAAAAATAAATCTAAACATTTCTGCTCATACAGCCTTTATTTTTAAGTTAATGTCTTTCATGTTTATAATAGTCATACCAAGGGAGGTCCTCTTTCCTTTTCCTTTAGTAAGGGGTCATTTGGGTCAAGGTCACCAATGTCAAAAATAGATTTTTTACACTTTTTACAGGTGTATTAACCTTATTCTATCGACAGATGTCTTGTATATTTTGTAGGAACATAAAATTGAGGTATTCTCATTTGGATGGAGGTAGGGGTCAGTTGGGTCAAGGTCACCAGTGCTAAAAATAGATTTTTACACTTTTGCTCATACAGCCTTTATTTATTGACAGATTTGTATTATAATTGGTAGGAAGATAACTTACATGGTATTCTTCCTTTGGATGGAGTTAGGGGTCAGTTGAGTCAAGGTCAACAGTGCTAAAAATAGATTTTTACACTTTTGCCCATACAGCCTTTATATATTGACAGATTTATTTCATATTTGGTAGGAAAATAAGTTTCATGATATTCTTCCTTTGGATGGAGTTAGGGGTCAGTTGGGTCAAGGTCACCAGTGCTAAAAATAGATTTTTTACACTTTTGCCCATACAGCCTTTATCTTAAATATTGTTACTGACAAGAATCTGAGCCGGGGGCATTTGTGTTTAACAAACACGTTATTGTTTAAATATACATGTACACATTTTGAATAGCATGTCCAAATCTAAGATGATACTATAAATACCTGACATACTGTTACAATGGGGGGTTTTGATTTTGTTTGATACAGTGTGCAGGAGGGCTCACCTCAGGTCTTGGAATTACAGAATGTACAATCAAAGAATGTCAAGAAGAAGGTTCAGTTGATGATGAAACACTGAAAAAACTTAAACCTATTGGCTCTATAAGGTAGGGTATAACTTTACATAACTACAACTCCTGTTTGATGACCTGGCCAGGTATCAAACATTTTCCCTTCTGCCTTTAAAGTTAATGACCTATAGATTGACTTGAGCTGCAATGAATGTTTGTAGTAAAATATACAGTAATGCATATATGTTAATAACAGTCTTAACATTACAAACTGCTAGACACCACCTTTTTAATTTAACACCCCTTAAAGTCAGTACTAGATAGTCTTTCCAGGGATCTTTCTTGAAGAGTTTTACGGAAATGACTAATTTAATCTATATTTTTTTTAACTTTGGTGCTTAGCATTTTTTGCTTCCTTGCATTCTCAACACTTCATAAAAATTAAATGAGGTTTCATATGTTTAGTCCTTGTGAATGTTTTAGCTAAAGGAAGAGTAATAAACTTACCCAACAGCTTGATATTTTCACTCAAATTATTATAAATGTATTAAATTCATTTAAACTATTGAAACAGACAAGTAATTGAAACAGTAAGAATTATGTCAATTTTTCAAAACAGAAGCTATTTGTATATTTAACTCTTTCTCTGTAGAAAGGTATTTTGGACATTTGTAAAAAAACAACAGATTTTATAGTGATGGAGTTCTGATGATAAGACCACACAAAATTGCAGACATATTAGAGTGATGGTTTTAAAAGTGGACCATTATTGCTGTATATTTCTAACTTTTGTAGATAGTAAATTATCTTTCTATTTGAATCTATTTGTAGCTATTGTTACATAGATGATAGGGGCATTGAACCAGAGACTCAGTATCTGTACGACCTTGAACTTTCACCAGACTTTGTACCTAGAAATGCTGATGGAGAAATGCAAAGTTTCCACTTATATTCATTAGAAGAGGTTTGACCTAACACACTTATTTAGTTTATACAAATTTATTTTAGTTTGATTGTGTTGGAAGTTATAAGCTTATTGAAACACTCTAGAATCAGTTCCTGGAACCAGCTGGTACTAAGCAATGAATGTAAAGTATCTTTCTCAAGGAAACAACACACTTGTAAATAATTAAAATGATAATTATGATAAGTATTATCACTATTAGCTGATGATGTTTCTTAGATGATAATGAACTGTTGGTAGTTGATTGTTATTATTTTGATTGTTATTATTTCATACTATTTTTAATAATTATGAAGATAAAGATGATGATGATGCTGCAGATAATGGTGTTGATGAATCAGTTGTTGTTGTTGTTGTTGTTGTTGATGATGATGATGATACAGATCAGGTTATTTTTAAGGTGGGGAAGGGGCCCTTCCCTTAAATTTGGAATGTTTATTATTCAAAATGATAAGCAATATTTATACTATATTCCAGTTACAGGATTTGATAATAGCTGAAGAGTTCAAGCCGAACTGTGCTCTTACCATTATTGACTTCCTCATCAGACATGGGTATATTACACCTGATAATGGTAAATGATATTTTATTTTAAATGTTGTTTATGGTGATCATAAAAGATATTTAACAAGTTTTTAGTAATAGCATATGTTCAATTTTTCTGAGTGATGAATTTGTTATGCTGGGATACATTTAACATCTAGCTGAGGCTTCATTAGTGTAGGACCTGACTGTGCATTTATTATTTAATAAAAGTATAGAGTGGGTAAGCCTAAGGTCTTTATATAAACCTTACTTTGTGATAGTCTCTTAAAACTTAATTCATCTGAGCCTGCAATGATGTCAGAATAATGCTGAACATGGCCAAGTCCTTATATGGGCTTTAGCTGTAAATTGTAAATCATGAATGCAGACTCTAACTTTATTTAAGAACAACGTAAATGCTGGTTTAGAGCAAATATTTTGTTCCTCATGTTCAAGTAAGCCTACAGGTTCATGTTCATTTTCATGAAAGATTTCAAAATGTATTAAAAAAAAAGTATTGTCAAGTGAGCAGAGAAAGAAATTAACACATTGCACTCCACTTAAAATCTTCAAAAAATACCAAATAAAGGCTAGAATGTTTAAAAATAGCCCTTACTGTGTTAGTCACATACACACAGTAGAGTTATGGCGATAAATATTGCAAAATCAGTCATTAATTGCATTTAACATGAAAATTATTTTATTGAATTGTGAATATATTTACTTTTCTTTAAATCTTAGTACATTTTATTCAAGGTTGATTTCTTGAGAGAGAAAAAAGGCTCATCTGGAGGAATGCAGCTTTAATTCCTTACTTAAAATTAACTAACCAATTTCTTTAACACAACTAATGTATTATTATAAACCAATAGGAATAAAAATAAGCAAAGATTTCAAAAGGAAAATATCTGTTGTAATCAGTGATACCCAAGCTTCTTTAATTAAAGCTGTGGTGTTAAACATAAAAGATAGTGATAAAACTATAATATATTACAATATTTCCTTGTTGTATAAGGACATATAGAAGATAGAAAGTGTGATTACACTGTGTTAATAAATTGTTGTTAGTTTCAGTAATTTACTGTCACAACAACAGGAAAATATGCACTATTATAGTAATATCCTCCTTTAAGTATCAATATCACATTGAAGAAGAAAAAAAAAAACAATCCCAAGTATTTATGCTTACCAAATACTTGACTCCGAATTTCTTCTCTCTTTTTTAAATTTTGAAAGACTGTATCTTTTTGGCTTCTGAATATTGATAATGACAATTTCCAAATTCAAAAAGAGACATTACTCAAAATTAGTGGGAAAGTGTTAAAATTGTATGAAATACATGATATAATATTTATATACATGTACATGTAGCCTTACTTCCTTGTACATTTTAGTGTTATTATTATGAAGAAGACGAATTTGTGTACATGAATATAACATTTAAGAAAGAGTTTATCTTAAAGTGACATTATGCTCATATTTTCACTGCCGAAGTTCAGCTGAATAAGTTACGTCAAAAATAATTTTATTATAATGGTCAATGACCAATAACCCTTTCCCTCATGAGCATAATTATTGTGAAAAATGGCCGTTTTCATTGAAAAGCCTCCTGTTACAAGTTCAAACTGCTATGAAACTATGAAAAAGGCTTCAATACTAATCAAACTTGGCACAAATGTTGACTGGACCATTGCCTTTGTAACGACATGCTCAGTCTTAAATTTCCTGTTACCATTGCAACAAGGGGACATCTCAAAATTGCCAAAAATCAACATTTTGCATAGATTTTTTCCATCAAAATTGATTTCAAAGTGCTGCAACTTCTCAATGGATTGAGATAGAGTCAAAGGCTTTTCAGCGTTGGTTACACATTACCTTATGATTGACCTGGGCTCAATTTTTGGCCTCTCACAATCCACAATTTTCTTGGCAATGAGGGGGACTTATTATAACTTTCACCTTTAACCTTGGATAGGCATAATGTCACTTTAATTTCCTTGAATAACAGTGTATAAGATATTGTACAAATGCTTTAACGGATAAAACCCTTCATTAGATAGCAGAAAAATATTTTGGTCGAACAAATTTTTTTTCTGTTTATGTACAATATTCATGTGTTGTAACAGAGACAGTCTATAGAGGTCATTTATACCTTTTGTTCTTGTCCAATAGAATTCAGCAATCTTTAGATTACTAGTCCGACGTGTTAGACACTTTGGCCATATCTCAGATCCTCAAATCTCACATAACAATATTAATAATTTTAATTTGTGTTTAATCCCAACAATGTACATGAACTGTTCTTTTATTTCAGAGCCAAACTACTGTTATATTATTCAGAGAATGCACATTTCATTACAACCAAGTCCATAGAGAGAAGAACAACATGGATAGATACAAAAACATGTTAGAATAAATACTAGTCCCTTTTTCCTTGTATTAAACTTAAATAAAACTGTGATACTGTTGTTTATAAGATTATTTATGTTTTTAACCCTAACTCTTGATGACCCCTATATTGTGGCAGAGGGTCTGCCTTATTTTTCCAGAGATCTTTGATCTATAATCAAGTGATACCAGAGACGAATAAATAAACAGATGTGCTTTCCTGATTATTTTAGGGATAATAACTGAACTAGTTGGTGTTGTATCAGTCCGATGTGGCATAATGGGGAAATTACTGAACTAGTTTGTCTCACAAATATAACTAAACAATTTATATAATCAAGCAGAACCATTGTCCTAAAGTCTCCCACATTATCTCCTTTTGTGTCTTTTTATTTGTCTTGTATACTGAGGTACTTATTGCCATGGACTTCAGTCATCTGCAACAAAATTTTCAATTCAAAAAAAAGATTTTAATAACAAGAAACTGTTAAAACTATTGTTTATTTAAATCTTTATTTCATTCTACAGATCAATACAAATGATAAATATATCCTGCATGCTTACATTAACACAAGAAAACAAATAGGAGCAATATCTGAGATAACATATTATATATAATACACAGCTTTACAGTTAAATCAGGAGAATTATTAAATCACATAAATCAGAAAACTTCATTTAAAATTTCTTAAAAATATGAACTGCTGTTTAATAGTTTAACCAATGATTTTTAGCTCGACTTTTCTATGAAAAGGGGAGCTATCCTACTCGCCCCGGCGTCGGCGTCGGCGTTGGCGTCGGCGTCGGCGTTGGCGTCACACCTTGGTTAAGTTTTTCGTACCACCCCACTTTATTTCAGAAGTATTACAAGTATGGCTTTGAAACTTACCATACTTGTTCACCATCATAACCTCCATCTACAGACAAGAGTACATAACTCTGTCAAGGTTTTTGACAGAATTATGGCCCTTTTTTGACTTAGAAAGTGTATTGAGCTTGGTTAAGTTTTTTGTACCACCTCACTTTATTTCAAAACCATTGGAGGTATTGCTTTGAAACTGACCATACTTGTTTACCATCACGACCTTCATCAACAGACAAGAGGACATAACTCTGTCAAGGTTTTTGACAGAATTATGCCCCTTTTTGACTTAGAAAATACATTGAATATGGGTAAAATCCACTTATTGCCTTAACCCTTTGAGATATTGCTTTGAAACTTTTAATGCTATTTCACATCATTACCCCCATCTGTACGCAAGAGAAGGTAACTCTGTCAAGGATTTGTTTTAAAAATTAAGGCCTTTTTATCGACTTAGAATCTTGGTTAAGTTTTTAGTACCAGTCCACTTTTTGACTGAACTGTTTGAGATATTAATTTGAAAGTTGGAATACTTGTTTACCATCATGGTCCCAAAACATGGGCAGGAGAAGGTAATTCTGTTAAGGATTTTATTTGAATTATTGCCCTTTTTGACTTAGAAACTCAGTTAAGATTTTCATTCTTGTCCACTTGTTGACTTAACCATTTGAGATATTACTTTGGAAGTTGGAGTTCTTATGTGCCATCATGAGACCTATCTGTAAGCAAGAGAAGATAACTCTGTGAAAATGTTTCTTGATTTGTACTTAGAAATTCCTAGTTAAAGTCTTGTGTGCCCTTAACTGTCAAAGTTTTGTTTTATAGGCAAGCACTAAAAAAGTCGAGCGCGCTGTCCTTCTGACAGCTCTTGTTTAATGTGCCACCTGCATTATCAGAAATTTACAAACCTCATTCTTTTGATACTGACACTTTGGTACAGTGTATGATACTAAAAATAACCACCTCTTTAAGTTTAATGTTATTAGCACTTTATATAGAAAGTAGTGATTAACTAGGATAAATGGTATTGAAAATACTGATATATATAGGAGAAATAACATTCAAAAAAGCTTAAACAGATAAAAGTTTAATGTGTTACTTCAACAAAAACTAGAAATATGATAAAATTCATTATTTTCACTAGCACTATATTCTGAGTTTATCCAAAACAGTTTTCAATTCACATTTAGCTTTATAGGCAAGCTATATACATATATATCTATTTACTGAGAGTACAGAAAACAAAATGTAAATCTAATTTACCAATTTATTACTGCATTTCTACATTCCAAAACTGATAATTAACAGTACCAAAAATGATAGCAGGTCATGTCCATTTAAGAAATAGGAGAGGTTAATGGGTAATAGGCAAACAGGTATATGCTGTTGTATTTAAATTTAAAACTTGATATTTTATCACCCTTAAAGGAAATCAAAATGAAAATTAATTAGTTAACTAGAACTCCGCGAGTCAGATGTGTCGCCTTGTGAACAATATAGTTTAGGAGAAATGGCCAGGAAAAAAATGAAATATGAAAACTAACAAAGGTCAATAACTCAAAATATAAAAAGTGCAGAGCAACAGTTTCTATGTACTGCACTTCTTATCTTATCAATAAGATCTATCATTCTATGAAGTTTCAAGTCCATATCTTTTATAAGTTATGAGAAATAGTCTGGACAAAAATAAAGTATGTAAATTAATAAAGGGTAAAAACTCACAAATAAGAAGTGCAGAGTACCGGTTCTTGTACACTGCACTTTTTCTTAATGAGATCTATCATCCTATGAAGTTTCATGTCCATAGCTTTCATACTTGAGGAGAAATGACCGGGACAAAGTATGAAAATTAACAAAGGGCAATAACTCAAAAAATAAGAAATGCAGAGTACTGGTTCTTGTGCACTGCACTTCTTCTTAATGAGATCTATCATCCTATGAAGTTTCAAGTCCATAGCTTTTATACTTTCGGAGAAATGGCCCGGAAAAAAATAAAGTATGAAAATTAACAAAGGGCAATAACTCAAAAACTAAAATGCAGAGTATCAGTTCTTGTGCAATGCACTTCTTCTTTATGAGATCTATCATCCTATGAAGTTTCAAGTCCATAGCTTTTACATGTATACTTTAGGAGAGATGGCCCGGACAAAAAACAGGTATGAAAATTAACAAAGGGCAATAACTCAAAAACTAAGAAATGTAGGGTACCGGTTCTTGTGCATTGCACTTCTCCTTAATAATATCTATCATCCTATGAAGTTTCAAGTCCATAGCTTTTATAGTTGAAGAGAAATGGCCCAAACAAAATTAAAGTATGAAAATTAACAAAGGGCAATAACTCAAAAATTAAGAAGTGCAGAGTACCAGTCCTTGTGCACTGCACTTTGGGTTGATAAAAGAAGCTTGCATACCAAGTTTGAAGACAATCAGACTTAAAGTGACTGAGTTATGCTCCGGACAAGATTTAGGGGACGTCGACAACGACACCGACGACACCGCCGACAAAAGTAACCCCTATATAACCTCTATATGTCGCCTTTTCAAGGCGACACAAAAAGAGTGATATCAACATTTGTTCATCATGAATATCTTTTATGTCTTAAATATATAATATCTTAATAAAGCTACTAACCCACACATAAAATATATTGTTGCAAAGGTCAAAATGATAGCAAGATAAAAGTGCCAATATTCTAAACAGTTTGTATTTCTGTGTGAGCCAGATACACATTTAACATCTTAATGTTAATGTTAAAACTGGTGTCATACATTTATAGTTAGATGGACTTTATTTTCTACAAAAGGTCAAAGAAAGTAGCTTTTTTGTTTGTTTCATTTTACGCCTTTACCCCAACAGTATTTCAGTCATATAGACTAGGCGGGTAGTTTCCTAACCATCGTTCCTGGAGAGTTACACCAGTACTAGACTACCTTCTTCCATGCTAAACTACCAAAGCATCTCCCGGGGATCGAACCCACGCCAGAGGTAACTGAATTAGAAGTCATTGACTCTAACCCCTCGACCACAAAGGCGGTCTAAAGTAGATTTTAAGTTGAGTTAAAGTTAAAAGTGTTAAAAATAACCACACAAAAACAATATTGCACAAATTTAAAACAAGTTTTTTTAAGCATTATCAAAACAACATCCCATTACTTTTCAGTTATAAAGATAATTGTAATTTTACTACTAGTTCAAGATAGGGTTAAGTTGATGATTCAAGATATCAACAACAACCTCATCACCAAATTTCATACCCCTCCCCCAATAATGTACTTGAAGTTGGCTTTGATAAGATGATAAGGGAGAACTTAAGGGGCATATAATACTTAAGAAAAAGGAAGACAATATTGTACAGGTAATATGAAAAGATTTTGACTCCTCAAATTAGGTCTAAATAAAGATAATCTTTTATTGTGACCATCTATAAACAGACAGAAGCAATTAAGTTAAAACTAGAAATGTGTCCATAGGACACGGGTACCCCCACACACTTCTGTTTTGTCAATATTATGACTCTACATGTGCAACAAGTTGAAAACTAAATATCTTTTACTAAGTAAAGGGCAAGAACACAAGCCAAAGGATGGACGGACATACAAGGGTAAATCTAAATGCCCCCCCCCTCCCAAAGTGGGGGCAAAAAAAAACAATCAACATAACTATGTCAAAATTCAATGAAACCCAACTCGCTTGATTTATATGTGTATGTGTTAAGTTTCAAGTTAATACATGTTCCGCTTTAAAACATTTTCAGGACTATTTTAAGTTTAACTATGTCGAAACACTTACAAGAGTTGTAGAACTTGGCCTGCTTAGTTTGCTTATGACACTTCATATACATGTTCATTTTAAGTATGAAAATATGATTAAGTGTAAATTTTAAGGCATTTTCGAAGTAAAGAAACTTACACACATAGAAGAGTTATGAAACTTTACATACAGATTGTTATTGAGACTTTTCAATAAATTTAAAGTTTTTAAATCGATACCTATAGTGGTTTCAAAGATACTGATAAAAAGAAGAGGGCCAAGATGGCCCTATTTTGCTCACTTGACCCATCAAACTCATCTCAGCAATTACTTAGACAAGCATCCTAACCAAGCTTGATGACAAATGAGTAAAAAATGTGACCACAAGAGTTTTAACAATTTTTTCCATATTTGGACAGTGTGATCTAGTTTTTGACCCCAGGTGACCCATATTCAAACTATACCTAGAATTCATCAAAGCAAACTTGCAGACCAATTTCCAGGATATTTGGATCAAAACAGTAGCCACTAGAAGATTTTTCTATTTTTAGCTCCTATGACCTAGATTTTCATCCATGATGACGACCAATATTCAAAACTCATCTTAGCAGCTACCTAGAAAAGCATCCTGACAAAGATTGATGATGATTACCGCAAAAATGTGACCACTTGAGTGTTAACGAACAAATGTAGACAGACGACAGACATTCAACAATCCTAAAAGCTCACCCTGAGCTAGCTCAGGTGAGCTTAAAACAAAAGACAACAATAGTTACTGGATAGATGAGATGTGACAAAGTGATTCCTATATCCCTTCAAACTATGTTTATTGAGACACCATTTCTAGTAATATAAAATGGTGTGCTAAACTACACTATATAGTATACAAATCACTATCTAATTCATGCATTATGAAAAAACAACAACAAATAAAAACATGACACAAAAGGCAAGCACAGTCCTTTTTCAATGTAAAATGAACAGTATAAAATATTTTATGTATCATTTTGATAAAATACCATTAATGATTTGAGAAGACATAGTTTATCGATGTTGATGACTGATATCTGTGTAGTATTCTAACACGACCCAGTATCTTTCCTAGTGAACATAGAAGGACTGAAAGTGTGTATTATTATGCAATAAAATCACTGTTAACGTTCTATATTTAGACATGTGACGTAACCATTATTCATGTGACATTACCACTAAAAATGCGACGCGCTAATTAAATAAGTATGGAAACAAATCAGGTGCAATTTAGCTTTAAATCAGGAACGGCAACATTTATTTGTTGATGTTGTGTTAGAATCAAAATAATATATCCAAATCGGTGATTTTATCGCCTGATAAAATCATTGTCAATCCGATGCACATCATTTAATCACTCGGGTTACGTCCTTATGATATAATTCCTCGCATCCGAACTCCAAACAGTGATTTTATTGGGCTATAAATCACTGTTTTAGATATATTATTTCTTAAATAATTCATCTATGTTGATGACTGATATCTGTGTAGTTTCCTGTGCTAGGAGGTATACTACTAGAGTAGTCGGAAGCCTGTTGTAGTGGGTTGAGACCTATAAACCCATGATTTAATAAGTTTACATGTAACCCTTCTGGTGTTGTCAAACTTACTGGTACTGGTATACTAGCTGGTACACCTAATGACTGACAATTTGCTGATGTCACTTCCTGTAAAGAAGCAGAGCCAGGCCCACAATGTGAAGTTTGAACAATATCTGGTTCCTGTCCTGAGGTGATGTATCTAAAATTCTGCTGTAAAGAGAGGGGTTCATTATTATCTGGAGACGAATAGATATTTGAGGTTGACATTGCTGAAACATTTGATGTATTAAAATTTGGAACTTTAATATTAGTATATGATTTCAGAGGTCCTGCATTTATTGTATTATCTTCACTTTTTATCTGATGAAATGATCTGTGAGACGTTAAATTACTGTTCATATTCACATTCTCTGCAGATTTCAAATTTCCATCTAACTTTTCTGAGGTGTTTTTCTTTAGAGATTTCGAAGCTTTTATTTGTTTGTTTTCACTGTTTTCTGAAGCAACCAATAAATGATCAACATTTTTTGGAAGAACATTGATTTCTGTTGGGATTCCATGACGTTTGTTACTTTCTCGAATATCTTTCAGCATGTTCTTGACAGATTCTCGATCCATCTGATGGCGTTTCTCCATATGTACCCAATATGGTGTACTTTGTATAAACTCGTGGCTACAGATGTGACATCTAAACCGTTTCTCACCTGTATGGATACGTTCATGTCTTTTAAGACCTACGGTAAAAGTAAAAGAATATACAAGTGGAATCAGAATATCTCAGAAAACCAGTACTTGTGCACATAACCACCAAATTTTTATTAATTGATTAAACAACAGTGTAAACACATATTGGGAAGGGAGATTGTTGTCATGTGTTGGTATGAACTACTTTGCACATACAGTAAGCTAAATTTAGAAAGTTACTAATGTCAGTATTCTAATGTCATAAGTAACCAATTACCCCTTGTTCATCTTGTGCCAGATAGAGTTTTAAATCTTGCTTATTTTACCTTTTTATATGCAGTTTATACCATTTCTTTGTTAATTACAAAATGACTATGTACAATGATTTTAAGTTGCTCATTTAGAATATTGTGAAATTAATTTCATTAAATCTGATATACATATATTATCATTTAAGGCTAGTTCAAGCCAAGTTTGATGAAAAATCAGTGCAATCTGACCAGGTTCTATACTTTTTGGCTAACTATAATGAACAGTATCAACAATTGGAATCTAGAGAAGTCAATTTGAGAAATTCAACAGGTTAAAGGTCATTATAATAGTCTAAGAGAGGAAAGTATAGAATACAACATACATACGAGGGTTGTCCCAAAAGTCCGTGACAAATTTTATAGCCGGTTCATTTTTAATGCCAATGCAAAATAATTCACACATATAACCGTTAAGATTATTATTTAACATTACAACAACTCATTTACAAAACAATTTACTCTAGTTACTTAGAAATTATCAGTATTAACGACATTGGTTTGAGTTGCCGGCGCACTTCAGATAATTTGCATTTTGTTATGAATAGGCTGAAATTAATTACGTATATTTCAAATATCTGATGATGTGTCTGCACAATGTCACTTTGACTTCCTCTGCTGCTATGTTTAAATCATCTCTGAAAATTTTAGTTAAATAACTGAAAATACGAAAAAGATACGAATAAATGAAATATCTCATATAGAATAGAAAAGTTAAAATGGCGACGTTCGAAGAATTTGCGGCGCAGTGAACAGGTCACTCAGGTTTCATGACTATTTCGAGATGCCACATGTCACGATTTTCAACAATTATACCAAATAGAACAGTCTTGGAACATATCCTGAGCACTTGTGTACAAAAGGCATGAACGGAATCAGAGGTTTGCGCTACAAAAATCGAAAATAAGGAAAACACAGATAGGAAGACTGATCTTTGTCGCCTATTTCCTACAGCTAAAAAACAGGTGTAACGAGACTGGAAGTTCGCGTATAGCAAAAATTAATGTATGCTATCCAAACATTCAATAGACACTTACAACCACATAATTTAAGTCAGAAATTGATGATTTATGGGTACCATTACTGCGTTGAAAGCCATTGAGTGTATTTGAGAAAGGCGCCTTATATAGATTTAACGCCGTCTTTTACGTTGGACGTGTGCTGCGATTCAGTTAGCTGCCATGGTGTTTATGGCATATTTATGTTGTTTGTTGATATTTTTCTATGAAAATATGTGAAATTGTTTAAATTATATGGGTTTATAACATATTAAAATATCAAATTCGTACCTGCTTTATTTAGCTTTTAAACAATCTTGTCACAGAATATTGGGACAACCCACGTATGTTGATGATTAATATAATTATACTGATCTAAATATTTTTGAAAATATATTTACCAGCTTTATCTTTAAACATTCTGTCACAATAATGACATTTCATAGTTGCCTCATAATGGGTTGCCTGGTGAACGTTCAAACTCGATCGTTTAAAGAAACGTCTATTACAAATTTCACACTCAAACCTGCAATATACATCAAACACACTGCATCATGTTAAATACATGTGACATACATTCCTTGTTTTAATATATGTAATTCTCTAGTCTTAATTAAACAGTAAACAACTGAACAGACTAGCAGTCTGGCCTGACAATATACTGATGTTGATAAAAGACTAAAATTACAGGCTGAGAAAACATGATAGATCACACAAATTTGAGTACAAAATGTAGAAAAAATTTTATTTCTCCTTGATTGTGAAGTAAGTTCTTGCAATTTACATTAACCACAAACATATGAAGCAACTGAGTAAATTGAAAACTTTAACATTTATTATCTATTTATTTTGGTCAGACCTTCATCTGAGTCTGATAAGGTAATATAAACACAAACCTTGTTATTCCCATATGTACATTGGCTTGATGTGTATTCAGCATACCTTTACTTAGAAACTTCATACCACAAACCCTACATTCATGTGGCCGGTTACCTGAAGTAGAAAACCTCTAGTTTTTATTTCATAGGTAAAGAACTAACCAAAGACAATCAAAGAGTTAGCACCCCTGAAAGTCACAGTTGTGTATTATGAAAATAGGTAAAGTGCTGGGGATCTCTAAATTGTAATATCTACTATCTAGTCAAATGTAAGCATTTATCTTGAAACAAATGGCTAAACAAGTTTGTTTTCTGTTCAATGGCACTAAATAACTGCACTGCAGTTAGTCCTGTGAAATAACGTGGTATTATATTCAAGATCATCCATATTTTTTAATTACCTCTATTACTGTAACATCTGGCCAATTTTTAAAAAAAATTTTTTTACAAAAATTACATTTTAGTAATAATATGTCTATCAAAGCGATTAATTTCTGTTATATAATTTAGACAACTACTTAATACTTGTAAACCTACCTTGATGACCATTCATATGCATGCTGTATTCAGTTTTCTGACAGAACTGAGCTGAGCACAACTCACATTTCCATGGTTTATTTTCAACATGTATCAACATATGTTTCACCAGGAATCTACGATGTGCGAAAGCTTTCCCACACTTGTCACATACATAAGGTTTCTCCCCTGTGTGTCTTCGCATATGATATACATAGTTATATTTTGGTACAGGTAAACCACATACATCACACATCTCCAATTTGCTAGCATTTTTACGTACTTTCTGTTTAACTTTAACTATCTCAGAGCTGGTTGTACAATTAAAAGTATCTACTGACTGAGCATCAGTTTCCTTTGTTTGTTCCATTACCCATGATACATCATTTTCTTGAATAATGTCAATTTTAGTCCCTTTTTTATTATCTCTGTTCCCAACCATTTTATCCTTTTTCATAATTTTCCTTTTCTTCACCAACCTAGTTTCATTTAAGCCTTCTGTCTTTCTAGGTCTTCCCCTCTTTTTAAAAGGTTTTATTACACCATTGTTTTTGCTGTCATCAGAAATTTCCCTAGTAATACTTGTGGTGACTGAGCCTTCTATTTCATCTCCATGATAAACTCCAACTGAGTCAGTCTGTTTAATTGTTTTACTTTCTTCTACAACATCAGAATCTATCAAGTCTTCTTTAGTGTCCTTTTTAATGTACACTTCAGAATCTTTAATGTACACTTTAGGATTTATTCTATCTTTTCCTTCAAGTTTACTTCTAGATTTCCTAATTTTATCATTTTTTTTCTGATATGAGATTGTAAGTTTCTTTGGTTTCGGATTAATTTGCTTCCTCCTATGTCTTGAAGGAGCTGCCAACTTCTGCTGCAATACTTCAGGTTTACTCGAGAGTAAATTACCACTTTGTTGAATAACTGACTTAGTAGCCTTCACTTCATCACAACTGTTTACATCTTTGATCACTATAGATTCATCTGTCCTACTATGATAATCATTTTCAGTTTGAGTAAAGCTACAGAATGTGTCATATTTAGGGAAGGCAGTGTGACTAATATGGTCAAAGTGATAGGAACCTCCAGATCCATGAAGTTCAAGGTGGTGATGTAAAAGACAGATAGAGATAAACTTACTACAGCAACTTCCACATATATACTTCTTCACTTTATTGTCAGCATGTTTAATAAAATCGTACTTGCATGGACATGTATAATCATCTTTAAATGGATAAGAAGTTTCTTCCAAATCTATCTTTTTAGTATCTGTATTCAAACTAACCTTAACTGCTTTAACCATGTCAATGTTAACATTGCAATGTGATTCATCTGTGTATGAAAGATCTCCCTGATTGGCTTGAATCAATGGTTGTGAATCTTCACTGACAGATACAGGAACTTGTACATTTGGTGTAACACTGGAAAGGACATTACTTTGGCACACATTTTCATTTAATCTGTTTTGCACTGGAAAATTTAATTCAGAATCACATTTCAATGACTGGGTAGCTTGTGCCCTTGATACACAGTTTCTGTCATCATTAGCAATATTAAAATCAACAATTGCATTGTTTACATGTTGAGATATTGATGTAAATATTTCCAGAGCACAATGCTGTGCTTTCTCTACATCTTCTTGTTCCTGTAAGCCATGGGTCTCATTAACTTGCTGGTAGTTGAAATTCTGCTGCTCTTCATGGCCATGAGTATGTTGCTTTAAGTCTTCACTCAATTTCCCAAACTGTTGTTGCTGATGTCCCTGACTATATTGCTGTTGCTGAGTTTGCTGAACACTATCATCTTGCTGACTTTTACTGCCATGTGTCTGCATCTTTGTTGTACCCAAAGGAAGATTGGCAAGTGGTAATAAATGTCTATGAGTATGCTCATTAGATGTAGATGTGGAGACAGAAGGACAGTTTGTTGCAATGTAAGTATTTCTAGTTAAATCATCATCTATTTTATAGCTACATGTGGTTAGTTGGTATTTCAAAAAATTGTCTTAAGCAAAATCACAGCATTCAGCGTCTGAAAATAGACAAAAATATACTTTCAATGAAGCTCTCCTTTAAAACAAAGGGTTACTATACAACTATCTTATGACAGAGAGTCTAAGTTTTGTATATATGCATTTAACTAACTAAAGAAACAAGAAAAGTGCAATGTGTCGAAACCAAGTAATCGACATTCATGTTTCATAGAATCTTCGTCATCAAGTCCCCTGGTGCATTTGTCTGCATTTTGTAATTCAAAATTACGACGGGAAATATGGCTTTTTGATTTTTTACATATATATACAATATGCAGATAAATATTAATTTGCATTTTTAATGTGTTTATTATTATACATGTATCATTTATGAATTTTAGTAACATACATGTAGCAGAAATCAAACTGGAGCTATAAGTGACTTATTTATACCCATAGCATGTCTTTGACCATAACTCAATTTTCTGGGCTGAAAAATGCAAAATTCTGTCCAAAGTTTGGTCAGTATTATGGAATTTTCAAAGTGATAGTACATGATGTACAACAAAGATAAATATAAAATTTCAATCTTATATAATAGCTTGAGTAGTTTTTACAATCAAAGAAGAGTTGCACACAGCGCACATTCTCAATAAAATAAAGCTTTTGAGGTTGGGAAATATTAAAATTTGTTGTTGTAATTGTGTCATTTTTTATCACTGAAGTAAAAGTTAAGGGTATTTTGCAAGTTTGGCAGAAATATTTTCAACAATAAACTATTATATAACAGGATGGCATTTATTTCGGTAATGACACTGTATTTCCTTGGTAACGTAGATTTCAGATCTAATAATGTAACATATTGGCTGCATATAAATAACAAATGTCTGTAAAAAATATCAAAATCTGTAAATTCTCTATCTATAGGGACTTTCTAACCCAGGGAAATTCAAGGAAGTTAGGTACCTTGCTAATTTTCAGTTAATTTCTTCAAATTTAAATATTCTTAGAAAGCAAAAAGAGTCAATTTTGGAAATGATTATTTTATGTCTTCATTCAAAGGATATATATCATATATAATATATGAGAGGTCGAATGCATACACAAATGTTGTATTTAGAACCTTTTTTCAAAACATTCAAATTTCCACTTTCTTCATATTTGGAAAATTTATTGCTAAGCAGTTTTAAATTTATCCCAATACAAGATGTCACGTATGTTTCATTTTATTCGTATACAAGTAAAAGTTACAAAAACAATTTTATTTTTTGTAAAATAATGAATATATTTGGATATTATTTTAACATTATTATACATAGAATGTAATACGGCCAGTAAACTCTTTGCAGCAATGAATTTGTTGCTATAATTGAGAACTTCAAGCTTATAATATATTTTTAACATTTCTGCTGGTACATCAACATATTATGAAAATATCTTTCCTTTGCAAAATCACTTTTGTATCTCCTTACATTTAATACAAGGTTACCGTTACTTACAGCCATGCTTATCCCAACTTTACCTTTAATTTTAAAAAATTGTGTAATTTTAAGTTGGAGTAACGTATGTTTCACACTGGCTTATTTATGAACTTTATCACAGAATTAAAACTTACATGTAAAATTGACTTTTTTATTTAGGAATCAAATGTACATCATTCTATTGTCATACAAATACGATTTATGTTTTTATATTTGCATGTGTAAACAACATAAAATTTGTTTGATAAAAGTAACCTTTGTTTCACTTTGGTTACTTAAACAATTTAAAACTCGAACAAAGTTAATAAAATTTACCTACTAATTTAAAATTGAAGTTAATGTTACTGTTATAGGTGCTTTCTGACTTCAATTTCCCTTTTAATAAAATTACTTTAAAAAGTTGGTAAAGTATGTTTCTGTAACATATGTTTCATTTGTAAATTGAAAGTGAGTTGAAAAATGACGCAAGACCGTATAACCCGCAATAATTTGTGGTTAAAATATCAGAGTTACACATATGTTAATTTTATTTCTCGTTTGGAGTCTTCTTTGAATGGATCAGCTCTTAAACAATGGTAACGTATGTTTCTTTTTAAAATGCTGTTGAAAAGATTTGAATAAAAAATGAAAATTTCTGAAAACAGAACGATATTTGAGAGGCTGCAAGTTTCTTTTTGCTTATAATTATACATTTGCTGTATTATTAAGCATGCATCCATTCAATTATGTAATTTCTGTTTCGCTTCTAATTGTTTAGGTTTGTCACTATTTATTCGTATGCATTTGGCGGCATTTGATCATCCGTTATATCAATGAGGTTTTTAAGAGTCAAATATAATTTTTAGTGATAATCAAATTGCATATACACGTAGCAATGACTAATTGCACATGTTTTGTTTATCCTGGAACTTATTTTTTCTGAAACACAATTTCAAAGTTGAAAATTCTAGGTGGCAACAGTAACATATGTTACATTTTAGGGCATTAATGGTACTTGTAAAAGAAAAATACCAGATAAAAATGTAAAACTGAGAGGGTCCCTATTAGACGAAGAGGCAGCCACCTTTGTAACAACATTTTGACCTCAAGAAAAACCTTTGTATGAGAGCTACCCAGTGGAACATCAAAGAGAATGAGTGACAGAAGAGTATTTTCACATATATACTTAATAATAATATACTTATACTATATACAAGTAAAAAGTAATTAAGATGTCATGTAACAGTCTTGAGAAAACTATATCCTAAACAGCATATTTTGGAGATACTTGAAGATGTTTGATATTAGGTTCTTTAAAAAGAGTATTTTATGAGGCAGTGCCAATTTATGAAAAGAGGGTTTGTGCTTTTCCAAGATGGAAATTGTGCTTTTTTTATTGAAGTGGCTAGCCATATGGGCCATACTGCTAGTGAAAAATTTTAGGTATCATGTCAGATATTCAATAAAAAGGTCTTTTAGAAACGCAAGTTTTCATATTTATACGCGGAAAGTCCGAGCGGGGCCTAAGGCCCAGCGAGGACTTTAGCGCTCTTAGATAACATGTATGATGTGTATCAATTCAAATGAAATCAAATTATGAGTAAATGAAAATTTCAAAAAACTATATATACCTAATGAGCTAATGCACCTAATTTCATATTAATTGTTTTATATATGATGTAGGTTATTTATTTTGAAAATGCCATGCAACTAGCCTCAATAGTCATATAGACTAGTCATATGTGACACACATACGGCTAGAACTCTTGGCTAGCAATACGGGCCTGTACAGCTAGCCACTGCCCTATTTAAATGTTTTATTTGATCTAAATAATTTGACAGAAATGTTAAAACTAATCAACATGAGTTAAAGTAAGTCCAAATATTTAGACGTAACCGCGGATTCGAAGCTATCTTTTACAAATCGCATTTTCCGATACTGGCAAGCTAGCAGTTCCTGTACAAAAATCGTAGTTACTTAAACATTATTTTTTATTACACTCACTCACCAAAATTTGAATTTTACACATCAATATTCGGCTCGTCACACAAATCATGGAAATTCCATAATGTTCTAAACATAGAATAACCCTAACTTATGAGGCCTCATATGGGGTACCGAAATTATTGATTATTTTGTATGAAGAGGAGTAGTTCCCGTACATAAAATCTAACCATTGTAATTATACAATTTTATTATATCGGACCTATTTTTCATTTACAATTGTTGAACAGACCATTATCTAAGAAATAAATAGATGTAATTCAGGAAATAGACCGTAGACTAAACGCGAGTATCTATTACCCGGTACCCTTACCCCAACGCATTCACATGCAATAGCATGCTTGTATACATAATATTTTACGCATCAAAGCCATAAAATTATTTTAAATACTAAAATAGTAATATTGGTCAAAATTCTGATAATTAAACAAGTTTTAATCACATTGCCTACTTATCTGTAAACAGGTGGTATAAGTGGAAAACTCTTTAACAAGCCTCACGTGTAAATATCTTTGCGCATGCGCGCAAGGACGGAATCCCCCAGAGAAAACAATGTCACGTTTTGACGACGCACAGGTGAAAGTGATTTAAAATGCGACTTTTAATTCGTATTGCCGAACTGACACTTAGATTTTGTCTGTTTATGTATCTGCTTGATTTCAAATGAATTTTTTAAAAATGCAAGTAAAAATCAAGCGTTTAAATGAAAAATACGGGTACTGCTTCTGTACGGGAACTGCTCGCATGCCAGTAAACGTCAAAATGTAAAAAAAAGAAAATGCGATGTCTTTTTTTGCAATGATACTGAAACGCCTCCTAAATAGAATTGGCGTGTCCACTATAAAACTTTTGAAGCAAAAACTGACTTTGAACAGCTAAATTCGGAAATTTGACATCGTTTTTTTTCTGACTTTGTTTTTAACATTTTAATTACTTTCGTGCTTAATTAAACAATCCCCTGTACCTTCAGAAATATTTATATTCAATAAGAATGTATTGGATAAATTTCTGAAAGCCATTAGATTACCTTAACATCTTCCTTTGTTTTTCCATTTACCCTTTTTAAAAATTTAGTACCAAAGGGGAAAATTTTAAATTTAAAAGGGAATAACTATTTTTAAATTTTTATCCCCCTTGTATCAGGGAAAAAATTTATGAAACCAATTTTCCCAATTCATTTTGGAGTTTTTTAGCCAAAAATAAAGGGTTGGGGGGAGAATTTTTTTTAAATTTTTTTCTAGCTTTTTAATGAAACTATAAACACTTATTCATTTTAAGGTTGGTACATTTCCAACAAGTCTTGATCTAGTCCAACTAATTAGACTTGTCAAAGAGACACCGAGATAATTTTGGACGGGCGCTGTCTTTTGACAGTAAAAAAAAAAGTCTGTAAAATGGGTCAAACCGTTCACGCCGAATTAATTAGGCTAGTCTTGACCATTCTTAGAAATTCAATAAAAAGGATATGACCCACTCGGTTCACTCTCAGGAATGTTTTAACCTAAATTCAAACAGCAGAGTAATCACCATGGAAAATTTGTTCAAGATAAATCAGGGCCACTTAAAATTGTAGAAAATTTCATAACAGTCTTTTCAACGATTTTCAACAGTTTTTTTTCAAGATTTAAAAAAATTAAAACCAAATGTTATAACATAATATGTACATAATGCATTGGTAGACCTTGGTATGACTACCCTTAAATAATGTGAATAAAAAGGCAGTTCAAGGACTAGGTGTCACTTCTTAGTACGGTATTTGGGGTGCAAAATGATAAATGCATCCAATCTTTACAGCCATTTTACATTCCCCACTTTATAATATTAGCAAATATGGAAACTATGTCGTGGCCACTATAGTTACTAAGTCGTAACACGGATTTATATTGTCAGTTAAAGTCCGTGGTCGTAACCACGAGATAATCAAGTCGTTGGTACGAGACACTAAGTTGGTACGAGTTGGAAACGAGATAACTAAGTTGTGCGCACGAGATAATTAACCAATCAGAGTACTGTTACATTATATATATTATGAAGTTTTTAAACTTTACAACTTACATGTAACATTATTTTTTGAAAATACTGAAGATATTCACTTTTAACTTGTCTTTAGGATCATATTAGAAAGCCACCTTCCAAGCCCCATCAGACAATAATTTTGACTATAGCCCTTTGTTGTGACAATTTTGTGGTCGAATTGGTCAGTTTGTACGTACAACGGCCTGTTAACCTTGTTTATACGATAACATGAGAAGGAATAAGTCCTGGTTTATTTTATCTGGAAGGGACATTGCCCAAGGATAAGGATGTTTGAGGTCAAGGGTCAAGGTAACCATGGCACTTCATGTAAAATCTTTGTCTGATGAATAATTTAGAAGGGATAAGCTATGGTTTATATAAACCAGAAAGATCATTGCACCTGATCAGTAGATGACATATCTGATTATTTCGTGGTAATTTGGTCAAAATCAGGGTCACAGTAACGCGAATTGTAAAATTATTGACCAGTCAATAAGTTGTATAAATGGCACTTTAACAGGCTGGTGAAGTAGGGGTACCCTTGTACATTTTGTACTATAGCACATGTCTAGTTAATTAGGGAAATTCATATAAATGGTGTAATCTGATTGGTTATTTATTTCGTGGCCACGTCTTAGTAACTCGTGGCCACGACACATATAGTATCTCGTGCACACGAGATACATAAAACACACACATGTCACCTTTGTGCAATCGTAGATATTACCATTGTCTTTCAAATAGTTTGGAGTCGAACCAATGTTACAAAAAAAATGTTCTTCTTTCCCTTGTAAATATATGTGTGCTTCTCCGCTCCTGATTGCCAACGTATCTGATTCGCCATCACTGTGATTTGTATTTTCCAGAAAATACAATTAAACCGTCCTTTATGTATACAGATATAGGCATTTGACGAAGTATCAAAATTTGGAAGTAAAACAAATTGTTGATTTTTGTAAGAATTTTTTTAAAAATAATTTGAAACAAATGAACTGGGAATGATAAACTCAGTTTTTGATAGGCAGTTTACCTGCCAGCTATAAGGACAACGTTATGTGTGTTAAGACATACAGACAGACAAACAAACAAACAGATATACAGACAGATCCCGTCCTATTTTTCTTTTACACCAAAACATACTTTTATTGAAACTAACACATAAGGAAAGATAATGATGTAGGCTGTTAAAGTTTGTAAATTAAACTGAGGAAGGATATCACTTAAGTGAAAATGAAGTAGTTGAATTACTATTTATCAGATACAATGACTTTATGACTGTGACAACGCCACGTCCGTTTATTAATCAACAAAAGTTTAATATGTAAATAAAAGGAAGTTAAGCTAGATACACGACAAAACTGTTTTGGAAATTTGTTTGTCACAATGTTATTTCTTTCATTTGGAATATTGAATTGGTTAATATCTCTATCATCGTCCTAATGCCGGATGACAAAAAAGGGGTAAAATACATTTGGGGTATTTTTGTAACTATTTTCATATCTACATTTTTTTACAATTTACAATGGCATGTTATTAAAATTGTTTCTTATTTAATAAGATCGTGACCTTTTCCTTATGAAACAAAGAATGCCATTTTTTTGACTTACACTTGAAAAAAGGGATCCGGCCAACCTTATTCGGACATCAAAACTAGACGTATCATGGTAAAGTAAATATTTTCCTGGAAAACTAGCCTAAGTATAGTTTAGTCATATGACCTTTAATCTAGCAACATTACGGTATACATATTCTTAGTTAACTGCCCACATTACGGTAAACACATTCCCGAGAATCTAGTCACGGTATATATATTCTTGGTAAACCAGCTACATTACGGTAAACACATTCCCGAGAATCTAGTCACGGTATATATATTCTTGGTAAACCAGCTACATTACGGTAAACACATTCCCGAGAATCTAGTCACGGTATATATATTCTTGGTAAACCAGCTACATTACGGTAAACACATTCCCGAGAATCTAGTCACGGTATATATATTCTTGGTAAACCAGCCACATTACGGTATACATATTCCTTATAAACTAAACTCATTACCGTATACATATTCTTGATGAACTAGACACATTATAGAATACATATTCTTGGTAAACCAGACACATTACGGTATACATATTCCTGCTACACAAGACCAATAACCGTATACATATTCCTGGTAAACTACCCACATTACGACATACATATTCCTGGTAAACTAGCCACATTACCGCATACATATTTCTGGTACACAAGACAAATAACCGTAAACATATACTTGGTAAACTAGCCACATTACGGTATCCATATTCCTGGTAAACTAGACACATTCCTGTATACATGTTCTTGATAAACTAGTCACATTACGGTATACATGTACATATTCTTGGTAAACTAGACACATACCCGTATACATTAAATTAAATTGAATTTAAATTCCTGGTAAACTAGACACATTACGTTATACATATTCCTGGTAAACTAGCCATATTATAGTATAGATATTCTTGCTAAACTAGACACATACCCGTATACGTATTACTGGTAAACCATCCACATTACAGTATACAAGAGATGTATAATTCATATAATAATATCTATTCTTACAGGTTGTGGGACGGACTATAGACTGCATGGCGGCCGTGAGAATTACGAAGGAATGGTGGAAATCAAATATAATGACACCTTTATAACCCTGTGTGAAAATGACAATCTAAATGTTAAAGAAATATGCAAACAAATTAAAGAGTAAGTGGATTAATTTTTTCTTATTATAAGTTAACCTGAAGCAACCATTAACCTGTGGCTGCCAGTTTACGGTCAGTCTACACCACACCGTATTACCGGCGGCAGTGATGGCAAGATCACTGCGAGTGATGGCAGATATCTGAAAAATTACCGATCGGGTACAGGTAGGTTATAAATTTGGTTGGGTTTAATTATATTACACACAAATACGGCCCATATCAATTTGCTATAAAAAACTATTGTCCATTGAATGGAGATACTGTAAGGTAATTTTGGACTCGGTTTTTTTCCTTTTTTTTAAGACAAATTTTGAGCACGGTTAAAAGTGACAGCCTTGGAAAAATATCCGTGAAAATGTCTGTTTTCTGTTCAAAATATCTCAAGTTTTAAGTAAATGGCAGGATTTTCTGTTATCAATATAGACGTTCATCCATTGGGGTCACGCAAGCCAAATATCTACCCCGTTAGTCTTTTCTTGAAAGTTTTACAGACGCTCAATCTTGTCCGGTCGAAGAAAAATGCTGCCGTTGTAGGCAGATACATATTATAAATGCTGCCGTCGATGGCAGAAATACCATGAAAGTGGCTAACATTGTGACAGAAAATCAAGTTCAATCTTTTATCAATTCCTCTTTTCTTTGCGTCCTTTTAGTCGGAATTGAGACGTTAAACTATCATTTCTAATATTTTCTCAAGATAGAAAAGTTATTAATGCGGTGTGTGTGCATCGAAAAAAGCTTTTTAGCAACATGCAGTTACAATACAAAAAGTGATGATTTAGTACGACAAAATTTTACTATAAATTGAAAAATGAACATGAAAAACTTCATTTTTCTATATTCATGCATGTGTGCTTGAACTGTTCATATGAATTGAAAGGTAAAAAAGAGAAAAAGAATATAACAAATAAAAAAATTCTAGTTTTTTTCCTATAAATACAGGATTTATTTTTATCAAGTGATATGAATCATCGAAAGGTTCATCTTAATAAGTTGTCATGGTTACAACTAAAATGAATAAAAAAACATATAGTTAGATGGGAGCACGTGATGTTAGAACTGTTGTTAATAGTTTAGCATAGTAAATGTAATTCAAAGGCAAACTACAATTAACGCTATTACAGACATGAAAATTTAAAGAAATGAATCCACATTGTCGTGTTTTTCAAGAACTTGATAATATAGGAAAATATTTGAACTGTCAATAATATTATCTTTCCATTTTACATTAACATACATTGTTTTATGATACACTGATGCCAGATTGCGAGGTTTAATAGTCTCCCCTTTAATTTACATCAATTTTTATAATTTATAAAATTCGCTGCGGCCGATTAAGTAAATTTCAGCCTTTTTTATTTGTCATAAAGCCCGATGAAATTATTTACCTCGAGAAAATAATGCATAAAAAAAAAAAATGCTAGCAAATGAATATCCACTTAAAGAAATTACTTTTGCTGTAATATATGCAATTGGCGTTATGTCTTTAAAAAGGGAGTGCGCCTGCTAAAAACTTCAGAATAATAATAGTATTTGTATACATATAAGTTTGTTAATGCAATGAAACTGACAGACACACATGCAAGAATATAGAAAAATGAATTTTTTTCATGTTCATTTCTCTATTTATAGTGAAATTTTGTGATACTAAATCATAACTTTTTGTATTGTAAACTGCATGTTGCTAATAAGCTTTTTTTCGATGCACATACCGCATTAATGAAAAAACTCAAAAAATCTACAAAACAGCAATTTTTCTTCAAAATTATATGTGAGGGCCTTTTTTTAACATGGAAAAAACGCGTTTTTGGGTAATTTCGTTTTTTTTCATCAGTTTCTATTAACCCATTACCAGATATATACGCCTTTCTACGCCTTTTTCACCCCCCCTCCTTTTTTGCTTTCTCAAATGGTGAAAAAATGCCTTATTTAGGCCCAAAACACTTGTTTTTGTTTGATAAATGTTGTTTAAAAAATTGACCACTTTTTCGGCGCGGCCACCCACCCCATCCAAAAGATACATCAGGGGGTTGCCAGAAGGGGGATGTGCCCCCTTCTGTTTGGGGGGTTTTGAAGGGGGCTGAGTCCCCCTCATCGCCAAGAAAACTTTGGACTTGTGGGAGGCTAAAAATGGCCCCAGGTCGATCATAAGGTAACGTGTAACCAATGCTGAAAAGCCATTGACTCTATCTCAATCCATTGAGAAGTGGCAGCACTTTGAAATCAATTTTGATGGAAAAAATCAACTCAAAATAGTGATTTTTGGCAATTTTGATATGTCCCCTAGTTGCTATGGTAACAGGAAATTTCAGACTGAACATGTTGTTACAAAGGCAATGGTCCAGTCAAAATTTGTGCCAAGTTTGATTAGTATTGAAGCAGTTTTTTAGTTTTATAGCAACTTGAACTTGTAACGGGAGACCTTTCAATGAAAACAGCCATTTTCACAAGATGCTCATGGGGTAATGGGTTAATAACTTTTCTATCTTGATAAAATATTAGAAATGATAGTTTAACGTCTCAATTCTGACTAAAAGGGCGCAAAGAAAAGAGGAATTGATAAAAGATTGAACTTGATTTTCTGTCAGAATGTTAGCCATTTTCATGGTATTTCCACAGACGCTTGGGGTTTGGAGCTCAAAACGCCTTTAAAATCCAAATAAAATGCATATTTGTCAATCCCAGGACATGTACTGATCATATATATCAAAAAATCTTAATATATGCCGTTTTGAAAAAAAATCATATTTCAACATCTATAATAATACACAAGATAAAAATGTTCGCCGGAAAAAAATCCGCAACCCCTACCGTCATAATCACCATGTATTTTAATCCATTTCCATATTTTTCACATAATCTTTGGTCCATCGACACAGAAGATATAATTCTTTTCACGATGATGGTCAATTTTTAACTTCAACGGTAATATAAACAAACGCAACAGCCCGAAATAAACATCAATATTCTCGCCGTTTTTTTTCAACGACAAAAACTTTCGATAAATCCAATGGACCAGACGGCTATGAACGAAGCTATCCGATTATGTGGCCCAGCTTTGCCGTGTGCAAAATGCGGAGCGCTTTTAAGTTTTTTGGGAACCACATAATCGGATAGCTTCGTTTCATAGCCGTCTGGTCCATTGAATTTATCGAAAGTTTTTGTCGTTGAAAAAAAAAACGGCGAGAATATTGATGTTTATTTCGGCTGTTGCGTTGTTTATATTGCCGTTGAAGTTTAAAATTGACCATCATCGTGAAGAATTATATCTTCTGTATCTGCCTACAACGTGTATTATTATAGATGTTGAAATATGATTTTTTTTCATTTTTTTTGATATATTCGACAGTACAATGTCGGACAAGATTGAGCTCCAAACCCCAAGCGTCTGTAAAACTTTTAAGAAAAGACTCACGGGGAGATAAAACTTTTTAAGAAATTAGATGGCTTGCGTGACCCCAATGGATGAACGTCTATATTGATAACAGGAAATCCTGCCATTTACTTAAAACTTGAGATATTTTGAACAGAAAACAGACATTTTCACGGATTTTTCAGGCTTTCACTTTTTAACCTGCTCAAAATAGTCTGAAACAGGAAAAAACGGAAATTTCCCCCAAATTTCCCTTAAAAGTATTCATTCCCAAAGGACCCAAAAAGTTTTTTAGCAATAAAAGGGGCCCTATTTGTCTATAATTAAAACCAACCCCAAATTTTTAAAAACCCACCTGTATCGATCGATAATTTTTCAGAAAATTGCCCTCACTTTTTGTGATCTGCCATCCCCTGCCCCCGGTAAAACCCGGGGTTTCCCCAAAAACTTCCCTTCAGTCCCGAATCACACAAAAATTACTGGTTTTCCAAAATCAAAGTTTCGTAAAATTCCGAACGCAAATTCAAAAAGGTTAAAATTTCTAAATTTGTCATTTTTAAAAAATTAAAGAAATAAAAATTAATTTTTGGGATTTGTTTTTTTCCCTATCATTAGAAATTTTGAAAAATTTAAATTTGATCTGTGAAAGTGAAAGGGCAAAAGGAGAAACTACACTTGTACATATTTATGCATATGTATTACTTATACTTCCTGAATTTATACCTCATGTGTATTACATTTTGCATATGCTACATAATTTTCTTGCTTTTCCAAACTGCGATAAGATCAGATAAGAGGCTTACGCAATAAAATATATATTTTAGGCACACACTATATATATAATGTTAATGTCAGATGTCCATGATATACCTGCCCTGTCAATGTCCTTGATATATTTGCCCTATAAATTTCATCAGATGCCCTTTATATGTTTGCCTATAAATGTCACATGACGTCCATGTTATATCTACCCTGTCAATGTCAGCATAATGATATATCGACCCTGTAATAATTGTAAGCAGATGTCCTTGCTATATATACCATGTCATTGTCACCAGATGTCCATGCTATATGTCACCGGATGTCCATGCTATATGTCACTAGGTGTCTGTGATATATGTCAACATGAGTCCGTGATATATGCCACCAGCTGTCCGTGATATATGTTACCAGGTGTCCGTGCTATATATCACCAGATGTCCGTGCTATATATTACCAGATGCCCGTGATATATGTCACCAGGTGTCCGTGATGTATGTCACCAGGTGTCCGTGATGTTTGTCACTAGGTGTCGGTCAATATGTCACCATGTGTCCAATATATATGTCACCAGGTGTCCGTCATATATGTTATCGGATACCAGTACGTTATGTCACAAGAATTACATGCTATATGTCACCAGGTGTCCGTGATGTTTGTCACTAGGTGTCCGTGATATATGTCACCAGGTGTCCGTGATATATGTCACCCGGTGTCCGTGCTATATATCACCTGATGCCCGTCTATATGTCACCAGGTGTCCATGCTATATTTCACCAGATGCCCATGATATATGTCACCAGGTGTTCGTGCGATATATCACCAGATGCTCGTGATATACGTCACCAAGTGTCCGTGATACATGTCATCAGGTGTCCGTGATATATGTCACCAGGTGTCCGTGATATATCAACGGATACCCGTGCTATATGTCACCAGATGCACGTGCTATATGTCACTAGGTGTCCTTTCTTTATCTACCTTGTCATTGTCACTAGATGTTCATTTTACCATTCCTAGTATCATCAATGTATAGCAAACTATTACCGCAACGTAACATTTACCTGCAATGTACCTAATACTATATTCATTCTGAATTTTAGAGCCTCAGTTTACAAAGCCTTCATTGGCAACGTATTCGACATCAATTTACATGAAACATCCGTTTCATGTAATGCAACAGCTGAACTAAAAACTGTTTGTAGAGAAAACAACACGGTTAACTGTTGCAGACCTGTAGCGGTATGTTGTGTTGATGGTACATCGGGTAAGTTTAATAAAACATTCTTATTAGTTTTTTCCCCAAAACAACGACAAACACTCGTTTAATGATATATATCAAACAGAACTTATATTTCAAACAATGCATTCCCTCACTCAAACGTTGTAATCAATTGTGGCTGACAGGCAAAAAATCTAAAACATGACGATTTACTAGCTCCTTTGAGTTAATCCGTATATGTTGTCGCCTTTCGGCTCTTCGAAAACAAGCTGGTTTTAGTACTTCGGCCTTAGAGCCGATTTTATCACAATTTCTGCCAACTATAGAATGTCCGCCCTGACAAATTTGAACTATAGAATTTCAAGCACAATAGAAAGAATACACCGACCAGACAATGATTTAGTATTTCGTACGGTGGCACAAAGGTGACATGTGTGTGTTTTTATTTATCTCGTGCGCACGAGATACTATGTCGTGGCCACGAGTTACTAAGTCGTGGCCACGAGATAGCTAAGTCGTGGCCACGAGAGACTATGATGTGGCCATGAGTTACTATGTCGTGATAAATAACCAAGCAGATTACACCATCTATATGAATTTCCCTAATTAACTAGACATGTGCTATAGTACAAGGATGCCCCTACTTCACATGCCTGTAAAAGTGCCATTTATACAACTTATTGACTGGTCAATCATTTTACATTTAGATTTTTGACCAAATTACCTCGAAATTATTAGATGTCATCTATTGATCAGGTGCAATGATCTTTCCGGGTTATATAAAAGACAAGAATAAAGATCAATAAGGCAAAGGCAACGTTCACAGGACGTAGCCCCCGACACACCAAAGTAGGGCACCCAGAAGGCACCAAACCAAAACCTAGAGTGGACATAAGGGCGGTGAAAGGAGAAGGACATGTAATGTGTGAAATAATATAAACTAAAACGGGCCCATATGGGAATTAAAGGGATAAAGGCTGTAAGGGTGAAACAAGGAGGGGGTTAAAAAATGGGAGGGGTGTGAGAAAATACCTACCGTAAACAACAATCCAACAAGACAGACATCACAAAACATGTAAACATTCAAAAGCAAGTAACAACACAAACATGAAAAACACATGAAGAAACACAGAGGGCTATATAAACCATGGCTTATCCCTTCTAAATTATTCATCGGACACGGACTTTACATTAAATTAAGTGTCATGGTTACCTTGACCTCAAACATCCTTATATGATATCTAATGTCCGTGGGCGATGTCCCTACCAAATAAAATAAAACAGGACTTATTCCTTCTCATGTTATCGTATAAACAAGATTAACAGACCGTGGTACGTACAAACTGACCAATTCGATCACAAAATTGTCCCCACAAAGGGCTGTAGTCAAAATTTATGCCTGATGGGCCTTGGAATGTGACTTTCTAATATGATCCTTAAGACAAGTTCAAAGTGAATATCTTCATGTAAAAGTAAGTTGTTAAATTTAAAAAAAATCATAATATATACATGTCATTGTAAAGTGTATTCTGACTGGTTAATTATCTCGCGTGCACGACTTAGATATCTCGTTCCCACGACTTAGTAACTCGTGGCCACGACATAGTATCTCGTGCCCACGACTTAATTATCTCTTAGCCACGACTTAGTATCTCGTGGCCACGACATATTATCTCGTGGCCACGACTCAGTTATCTCATGGCAACGACTTAGTAACTCGTGGCCACGACATAGTATCTCGTGCACACGAGATAAATAAAAACACACACATGTCACCTTTGTGCTACCGTAATTTCGGTTTAATCCATGCGACAAAGATTATAAGCAAATGCTTGAAGTTAATGTTCGTGAAGTTGGCAGCCTAGCAGCCTAAAGAAAACTTAAAATAGTACAAACATGAAAACGGCCGGATATAAATTAGTAGCACTTTTTTAGATAATTCCACGCCTTTTTTCAATATTGTGATCTTTTTTTTTTAAGATGATGAACTTTATCTAAACATGATGTTTTCATTCTGACGCTTCGAAATTTGTGAAGTTTGCAAGATAGTTCAAACATAAAAACCGTCGGAAATGAATCGGAAGCACATAGTTAGACCATTCCACGTCTTAATTCAGTATCGCGATCTTTTTCTTTTAAATATTGCACTTTGCTTTTTTTATTTTGACGCTTCGAAATTTATGAAGTAAGCAGCCTAGCAGCAACATGAAAACCGTCGGAGATGAATTGGTAGCACATACTTAGACCATTCTACGTCTTATTTCAGTATCGCGATCGTCAAAACTTTGATAATTTTTGGATTGTGATATATTTTCTTATATAAATAATTGAATGATAACGTTTCGTTAATATATAGATTGAATTGATCTTAGGAAATGAGAAAATATTTCGCTAACGACAAGGGTCCACGAGACAAGGCGGAATCAAGTAAATTTGGCTTGTTTTTCGTCTAAGAAGGCAACAATAGAGTGGTATTATTCAGCCACTACAGTTGCTGTACTTAAACGCATGTTTATGTATAGGTTAAGTTAGTATTTTAACTTACAAATGTGCAGCTAACCAGCTAACCAGAACAATATCTGTTCAGTAAACATCTGCACGGATCTGCACACTTGTTAGCCAAAACGAACGCTCCAAATTTATGCTATTATAAAGCGCAAACTCCAGCTAAAATAGGGCAGATATGAACAAAAACAAGCTATGACTACAATTTCATGTACTAAAATAATGCTAAATTGCCATATTTTCTTAAATATCCAATCTTCCAATTACACTTACATCTTGTTGACATCACAGGTGGCAGTATCAGTGTTTGGACACCCCACCCCTATCTGCCCCTGGACCCCTACTACAACCCTGAAAAAAATAATTCAACAGTCTAAGGCTTACTATTAGGTACCAAATACAAAACCACCGATGAAATTATATATAAAAATAAATTTCCACTATCAAAATTCTGGTCCAGGGGCAGATAGGGGTGGGGTGTCCAAACACTGATACTGCCACCTGTGGTTGACATATGGATATGTAAAATATAGGAGAAATTGTTGATGTGATATTTGGTAGTTTTGAGGATCTATAGTAGGACACAACCAGTTTTCAGGAACTTGCTTAGCATATTCACTTGTGGGTGAATAAACTTTTATAGATGATTAAGTTGTGTGTATTGGAAAGTATGCCATATTCCGACCAATATTTAAGTATGTAAAACATTATTTATTATCTTTTTTGCAACAACATAGATCACAGTTACATAAAACAGGATATACATATATAAGAATAACAGTTTAACAAATTAAAATATCATTTCATGTTATGACTACAACAAGTCAGAGACTAAATAATTAGCACATAAAATTGTTTAAAGTTACTGATAGACATGATGTTTAAAGTCTATCTAGTTTAACATAGATGTTAAGATATGATATGGGGGATAAAAAGTACCTGCAATTATGCTGATAAAGTATACACTAATAAAATTTCAATAAATGGTTTTGTTAAGAGTGATCTAGGGTTACAAGGATAGCCCATTAAGCTGGTGTGCTAATTTCCAATGTTAACCAGATAGATGGAAACAAGTTGAAACCAGATACATTCATTTCTAATATTAAAATAGACAACGAGACTGGGACATAACTTATGTCCGAGAATGAGATAAGCGACGAAATAATCTTATTTTGTCTGTTTCATAATAGATTTAGTAGATGCAAGTGGAAAAAATACTCACTGGAATTCAGTGTCTTAACACTTATATGCTATATTATCACAGCAGTTTTGCATTATCACAGGACAAAAGACACCGGAGAAGCAATAGATGACTAAAAATATAACATAATTAGGCGTACATATGTTGCCACTCAGTAATAGAAAGAATCACTTTGATGTTGAGCAGCCTAAATTGAAGCAAGATAGCTTTTAACAGAAGTTTTATATTATGTTGGATTTAATATACATTTTACATAATCTGGCAAACTACTCAAATCTTTAATACCATTATAGAAAAAGGTGCCATTACATGTCTTATTACAATGTGGAATTGAAAATTTAATGTATTTGATTTAGTTTTGTATTTGTGTTCATGGAAATGTTTATACCTACACGTAAGTTTTTTGCTCAAATCTGCTATGCACGTCAAGAGGCGTAAAGTTGGAGCATGTCCGATTTTGCTCATCAGATTGAACTTCCGCCATATATTATACCCGATTTACTATACCAATGCTTATTATTCAAACTAGTAACTCTATAATTAATGATTTCATGTTTTACCTATTTATCTGTGATAATAATTTCAGAGTTTAGATAAACACCCTTACAAACCAGCTTATATTTTATGTACATGTAGTTTTTTATTTTTACCTTTGTAACTATTTAGGCTTTTTTCCCAGGTGAAGTTTGCAGCGCAAATTGGTCAGAAATTCATAATAAAACATGTCACCATTCTACACGTGGTAAACACTTAGATTACATCAGAAGTAGATTACTAGATGTTAGCAAGAATTTCTCAACTCAAAAGGCATGGACTAAATCAGCTCTTAGTAAGTATGTATTATCAACGGGGTAAACATGATTTAAGCAATTATCAAACAGCCAGTTCTTCCCATATAACAAGAGCGATCAGTGATCACATTTGTCGCCTCATGATGGCCAATTTCATGTTGGGACAAGTTTTGTGACAGACAGACAGTGCACAATTAGACTTGGTACTGACCATTCCTGTAAAGTTTTGATAAAATTGCACCAGTAGTTTAAGAGCAGTAGTCCGGACAAGCTTTTGTGTATCTGGAAACACACAGAAAAACACCTTTTAATCAAAGGGCCATAACTCGGCCAAAATCATTCTGCAATATGCGCAAGGACTTGAGCTACAGATAATTCTTGTAAAGTTTCATTGAAATTGCATTTGTTGTATAAGAGAAGTAGTAGAGAAGTAGTCCGGACAAACTTTAAAAATAAAAATTATTAAAGGGCAATAACTCTGACCAAAATCATTGAACCGGAAAATGCTAACAATATGCACAACTATATTTGGTACTGTTCATTCCTGTAAAGTTTGGATGAAATTGCACCAGTAGATTATGAGGAGTAGTCCGGACAAGCTTAAAAAATTGTGTATCTGGCAACACACAGAAAACAAGAGCCCGGTTTGAGCCGGGTGATGCTCCCCGAATAGGTTTTGGACACAGGAAAGTACACCTCTTGTAGTTTCAGAGTTATGTCCCTGGAAAAAGTTCAAAGTGCAATAATTCCAATATAAGGCAAGGCAGAGTTACTGTTCTTTGCACTGCACTTCTAATAAATGTGATCCATCAACCTACAAAGTTTCTTGTTGATACCTCGTATGGTTTCCGAGTTATGTCCCGGACAACTTCAAAAAAGTAAAAATAAGCAAAGGGCAATAATTCCAGGATTAGGCAAGGCAGAGTAATGATTCTTGTACACTGCCATTGAGATATATATACCTACAAAGTTTCATGTTGATATCTCTTATAGTTTTACAGATATGTCCGGGACAAGAGTTTTCTTAAAGGGGAGATAATTAAAAATTGAGACTTAACATAGTTATTGTTCTTATGCACTGCACATCTACCTATTGAGATCTATTCACCTACAAAGTTTCATGTCGATATCTTTTATAGTTTTAGAGTTATGTCCCGGACAAGATTTTTCTATAAGGGGAGATAATTCAAAAACCGGGCAAAATAGAGTTATGGTTATTTGACACTGCACTCTATCTCAATGCCCTCTACCACTGTATGAAGTTTAAACAAATTATCTCCAAGGGTTTTCAAGTTATGCTCCGGACAATACAACGGACGGACGGACAGACGGACAAGGCGCCGACTATATGCTCCCCCCCCCCCGAAAATTGTCGAGGAGCATAAAAACACCTTTTCATCAAAGGGCCATAACTTGGCCAAAAATCATTCAACCGGAAAACCCGTGCAATATGCGCAAGGACTTGAGCTACAGATCAATCCTGTAAAGTTTCATTGAAATTGCATTAGTGGTATAAGAGAAGTAGTCCGGACAATCTTTAAAAATAAAAATTATTAAAGGGTATAACTCTGACAAAAATCATTGAACCGGAGAATGATGACAATATGCACAACTAGACTTGGTACTGATCATTTCTGTAAAGTTTGGATGAAATTGCACCAGTAGTTTATGAGGAGTAGTCCGGACAAGTTTTGTGACGGACTGACAGACGGACGTTCCAACATTTTGGCTTTAGGGGTTATTTTCTTTGTTATTTTCTTTGATTTCTTAAGGGCTACTAGCCCCTAAACCCTTTGATCACGGAAAGAACCTATTGTTCTCTTTTGTTCTCTTTACTGTTATATAGCCCCTAAACCCAAAATGTTTGCTCGGACAGACAGACAGACGAACAGACAGACGACGGAGAAGTGATCCCTTTATGTCGCCACTACTCCGTAGAGGCAACACAAAAAGACATTTACTACCTGATACAGCCGTAACGACTTTAACGAATATCAAAGCACTGATGGTACTTGAAAACTAGTTACCAATTAAATACTTAATAATTCTCCCTTCATTTTTCAGAAACATGTTAAAGCGCTTCGAATTTGTCTTTATTAAACATAGATATGAGTCGTGAAATGACTTGGAATTAGCAGAAATTATATTGGAATTAGCAGAAATTATATTGGAATTAGCAGAAATATCTCTGAAACAGGTGGGACTCTTTAACAGTTAATATGCCAATCGACAATTCGCTTCAAGACAATCAAATTCATCGCACTTTTATAAAAGCCGAGGAGTTCCGAAATAATGAAATGGGGGAGGGGGGGGGCTAATTACGCAAATGAGATGACCTTTCATAAAATCACACATGCCAACTATAAAAATTTAATGCTAAAGTAATTATTAGCAATTACATGATGCTTACATTATTTATGTTAACAATTAATTAATAGACTGAAATGTATGATACATTCTGCATCATATTTATAATCATACAACTGTGTTGGCTAATTTGTTCAGATAAAATGACTCGTTTTCCAAAATCGCGTAGTCCCGGTAAACAAGAAATTCTTTTACGATTGCTTGTATGTGAAAAAAGGTTATAAAAAAGTATAAATGTAATTATATAGTATAACACATTGTTTATCAGTTGCAATAAAAATTTACAATTTATGATATCATAATTCTACCGCGATACTAACAAAACGTTCCTGAATATTTTAAATGATACATTATAGTGAACTTCTGTGGACAATAAATGCCTTTGACTTGATCAAATAACTTTATTTGTACGCTTAACAAACTTAAGTTGTTTTGTTCCAAATAATAGCAATTCGTGATGCTATGATTAAAAGCAAAGCAATTTTTAAAAATAAATGTTGCTCTGCGCTGAAATACAAATGATGAAGAAGAAGATACATCTGATGTTTATCTATTTCATGAACAATGAATTTCCATTACAGGGATCAAAAGATATAACTGTTCAAAGACAGACATGCCTGAAACTGATATTTTAAAAGGGTGTGCCAACAAATGTTTAAACAAGCGTAATTGGACAAGAATTACCATCAGTTCTAACGTAAGTTTAACTTTTTAAGCAAAATCACACAAGAAAATATATTTATTTATGAGGCTTAAGCAAATGTATATGCTTGTTTCATGCGCCAACATTTGTAGGCACAATAATTAAATTTTGTTAGAAGCACTTTTATGCAACACCATTGCCCATACCGACACAGGCTTTAAATACATCCTCGTGGTTCTGCAGATAAAAGTTCTGCAGAGAAATAATACTTCGTTATAATCATATATATGAAATGATGCACCGGAACTGAATTAGGTCTCCACATTGATTTATGAATATCAGATATTTTTCTCATATGTGATTCTATAATAGAAATCAGGGGCGAAGCTAGCTTTTTCAACTTGTAGGTCCTTAAAAGGGGCTTGGGTTAGTCCCCAGATGCCGAAAACAAGTTTTGATTTAAAGAGAAATATGTGCGTTCGAAAGTATATTGAAGGAAAATTATCAAAAGAATAATAATTTTAAATTATGAATTTGATTCAACGCAAACTTTACATGAATAAACCTAAATCACACTTGATCCTGAACCCACTACCAACTCCACCCCGGCCTGATTTGGTTGTATTTTTGGGACTTTTGAAAATATCTTGACAGCTTCGCCACTGGAATCTTTGCCAGTGAAAAGTTTAATTACAAATGTAAATGTATTTATGTTTTAATGCTATTTCAATGAAACAATTTTCAATTATGTTTTTACACTATTTTTTTTCTTTAGGGCAATTGTAGCTGCTTAGGCACACAAGAAATCGGCCCTCAATGTACAACAGTAGAACTTACAGTTCTGAATACCATACCTGTTCAAACTTCTAAATTAGAACTATGTATAGCTGGAACAGTAGAGAGTGGTACTTTGACTTTCACTGCCGAGGATTGTTCCCTGTTTCTTCAACCACTGTGTCTCATTAACGAAAAGTCACAAGACAGTAATTATCAAACTTATTATTTTGTCACAGTGCTATTTATCCATTTCACTACATTGTAGTGTTAAATGATTTTGCTCTTTCTTGCAGTTTAACGTAACCGCTTGTAGGAAACATGACTATTCTTGTAAATCCGCATGCGCAAACTGTTGTCCATTTTATTATTTATGATTATGGAGAACATAAAATATATCTGTTAATATTTTTTAAACATCTTATTTTGTTGATTTTCCATCACAATGGCACAAATCTTTTTTTTTAATTCAATGTGTAATTCTTGATTAATGACGCACATACTGGTACTCTTCATGTTTTCATGTAGAAGATGGAACATTTATCTGAATTTCATTTTTTTTAAATAGATAATTGGCCAGATCGGAATGAACGTCAGGACGATTGTGAGTAAAAGTTGTTACGTAACGTTTATAAATTCCTTTCATTTAAATGAAGTATTCCAGACGATATATTGAGGATATTTGTTTGTTTTGCATGTAAGATTGAAATATAATTTCACTGAGTGAACACCAGATGCAAATTTTTGAAAATATAATAGCTGGTGTTCACGAATGAAATATATTTCAATCTTATTTGTAAAAAAATAAATTTTCTTTTTATTTCATGATTTTTAAGTGATTGTAAGTACTTTTTAACTAATTTTGCCGCGTAACGTCGTGCATTCTCCTTTGTGACGTCATCACATCATGACGTCGCATTATCAATTTTGAAATATAGGTATGTTACATTTTTCTTATTTTGTTACATTTAAAATCGACTTTCTTTTCCTAAAGAAGCAAAATTTACGCAAGACGGTATTTATTTCTGCCTGTTATTCCATTTAGTTATGATTTTCTTTTCATCCGCATTTAGATACAGTGAAAATTATATTTTATAGATTTCACTAGTGCTTTATCAGAATATATAGAGGATATTCAAGTTTTTTCTATAAATTCATGATTTATTTTCATCGAGTGGTATGAAAATAAATATTTCATGAGTGGCGGTAGCCACGAGTGAAATATGGTAATTTTCATGCCACAAGATGAATTTTCTGTTTATTATGTACATTTTTCTCTTTTTTGCGATAAAATTTTAAAAAACTTTCCCTTAAATTTTGTGTACTGGTAGAATTTAAAAGAAAGTAGTCCGGCAAGACACCAGTGAAAATACGGAAAATATGTTTCACTGCAGTGAAAAATAAATTTTTACAGTGAAAATACGGAAAATGAAAATACGCATTTTATTTGATCAATATTTCTCAATATTTCATTTATAAGTATATAATAAAATCATCTGATATATTACAATAAAACACTGGAAAGCATGAAATAAATCCCCGTGTCTTAAAAAAAATAGTTAAAATAAATAAAATAATCTGATCGTTCATTTCTCACTTCTTTTTCTTCCATTTTGTGACCTTACATTTGATAACTTACTTATATAATATATAATGTTTTAAAGTTAGATATTTTTGTTAATATTTACAGATCAAGCTCAGTCATCAATATATATGCCGATAATAACAGCTTGTGTTGTTGTATTTGCAATAATCATCACAGTCGTACTTATCTGTAAATTCCGGTAAGTACATTCATTACAGTTTTCAAAAGAATCAAACAAACGAGTTGTTCTAACATATTTAGTTACAGGTTTTTGTTTTCATGTAAACAACATGTTGGTGTAATTGTTTCCAGTGCTTTTTTCTTTTTCTAAAAAGGAAAAGAAACAAAAAAAACAACAACACAAAAATCACAAAAACAAAACAAAAACAAAAAAACGAAATAGCAATCAAGATCTAGATTTCGTTGATTTTTCTATCAGTTCGAAGACAAAGACGTTAGCGGTAATCATAAGCGAGTGTTGTAAATTGTAGCCAAGATGCGTGTAAGTTAGGTATATTTTCTTTAAGTAAGAAACAATCTTATGTTTAATTGTTGGTTTTTTCTTATTGAGTGATTTCATTACAGAAAGTGTGGTAGTAATGGGGACTCATTTCGAAGTAATTCTATATATAACAGGACTTACGGTCGACAACTTAACAGACAACAATCCATTAACGCGGAGGAATACGCAATTATTTCAGAAATAGAACTAGATAGTGGTACTTCCTTTTATAAACCTTCTCTGCCTGAACGCGGTAATAACACGATAACTGATAACAAAATCGATGCTAAAGATATATCTCGCACTACCATTATAGCATTAGATGAGTACAGTACTCCGTCAGATATGATTAAAAATAAACTTGACACGTTTGATCCCGAATCAGAATACACAACTACATATGATGACCCTATCAGACATAACTTACAGAATGCTGCTGAGTGTAAACGCAAGAGTGAAATGAATGACAAGATTGGTAATCAGGCATTGGAAACAAATGAGAATGTCAATACAGACTCTATACAGTCGCACAGCGATGACAAGAATGAATTGTCTGATTCTTATGAGAGTATTGCAGGTACATATAAAGATACTGATAAAGATGGGAAAATTATGGTTGACTTAAATGAAACGGTAAAGAAAAGTGAGGAAAGTTTAATTGAATTAAAAGAGGAAGAATTATTGGAAGGTGGATGTAACTCTTTACCAATTAAAAACATTGTCAAAGAGGAACACACTTTGGGAGGCACAGGAAATTACGAGGATACAAACATAATTGATGGACATTTTCCAGACAAACCCAAAGACATATTTGATGAGCATGTGTGTTTAAATTGTTTAAAACCAGAACATTTGGAAAGATTAGGGATAAAAATTATAACTGATGATAATGCTTTAGGGGCGATTGAAAATGATAATGTACTCGACGAACCAGAGGATGACAGAACACAAAATCGCACTAAAGTGTCTGACAGTGATGTCAGTGGTGAGACTGGAAGAGAATGTGTTGTATGTAAAAATGTATATGATTGTCTAGGGAATATAAAGAAAAAAGTTGTGACTAAATCTGAAGGCAATGTATACGACCATTTACGTAATATCAAGGAAAGTGCTTTATAGAGTGAAATATATTTTTCTTTTTCGAATGATAGATGGACAAATGATTATTTATTGATAAAATGTGGCAAGACTTGTTTTTAATGTGTATATGACAGAATTGTTATGCAAAATTCATATTGAATTCATATTGAATGTTGGATTTCTTCATTTCAACATTAGCTAATTATGTTACAAAAATGTATTCTCTTTGACAATTGGGATTCAACTGTTTTAACATAATGAAGATATGAAAGAATAAAAAATACACAGAAATCCAAAAACATTATGTTGTGTACAAAGTTAAATCGTATCCTGACTGAATGTTTTCTTTCTGTACATCAATAGTGAATCGAATTAAACTAGTACAATATTAAAATATAAATGCAATTTTCCTCCATTTAACGTCACTTCAGACAGTATTTCATTTTTTTTGGCTATTATATTTTCTTATAATCTGTTTTATACATTTTTTTGTTATTGTATAAAACAAATATAAATAAAATAGAATGATAACAAACCATGGTACTAAGATAGAGAAGCATTGTTTTACAGTACATCTCCTGCATTGTAACACCATTAAGGAGACAATTTTATTGGTTGTTGCTGACAGCTGTTGCTCTAGTCAGGTTTAATTTATTGTGAAGTCTTACTTTGGGGACTTCAACTTTTCTTGTAAAAAGGTAGTTGCTGTATAGACGGCTGTTCTGCAGTGATTACACACTGTATTTCCTTTCAAATTTCCTTTATTATTCCATCTCGGTCAATGTCCATGATTTTAAATAACTTCCGTATGTAAATAGGATACTCATATAATTGAATACAAATATATTTTGTATTTCGTATGTAAAAAATAAAGGCATTGCCTTAACTCACATTATCAATTAAATGATAATGATGACGATGATGATGATGATTATTATTATATATCATTTTCAATTGCTACTAATGTCTCAATTTAATCTAGTTGTGATGAAATAAAACATATTTAACTTTGACTTCTCAGGAGGATCACCCCTTTTCCAGATGTTTACATTGAGGAAGAATAAAGTGCGATTATATTTCCTTCACATTGTTTTTTTTTTAAAATTCCCTGTTGATGCATTTTTCTATAGGAAAATGATAATTGTCAAACATAGGCTCTTCACGAGCAGGTGACCTCCTATTGGATCTAAAGCCAAAGCGTTAATTAAGAGCTGGTTTCAATCAGATTGTGCCTAATTTTGAAGGAAAATTAAATTGACTGTTATCAATTTCAAAATATCACAGTTATTCTTTCTTCCATTGTAATATCTCTATCGCTTTTGTTACAAAGGTGACACATGAAGGCCGCCATATGACTGCAAGTAGTTCAATATTTCGCCTTATTTTTGAAGCATTATAGCCAATACAAAAAGATCAGATTATGAAAAAAGTATTACTGGAAAGACAAATTTTGTCGCACATTAAATTATTTTTTTCATATTAGCTTAAGAATTGGATTCACAAACACTTTTTGTCTTAGTCAGAACTACTAATACCGACGTTTTTAGAAATATTGACTGCTAAATTAAGTCCATCCATGAATTTAAAAAAATCATCTCGAGAACCACAAGGCTTAGATCATTGATATTTAGCATATGATATTGTCAGGTGGACTTCTAGCAATTTTGTTTAATTATAGCCATGAGATCAAAATTGGCGGGATCATTGATTTTAGTTATGAACATATAGTAAAAACAGAAACTCAAAAATGTTTTTTGAATAGGAGAAAGCTAGAAATAGTATATTCGACACAAAACATTGTCTGGTGGACCTGTATAAAGATGCCCTGCCGAAGGGGACACAGTGACCTCCTTTCTGTTTTTTGATGTAAAAAAATCTGGAAAAGATGTGATCCTTTAGAAGCATTAATCACAACAAAATAACATGTAAAATGAAATTGCATGTGCTCTGTTTTAAATGTTTAATGGAATTTTTTACATTAAATGAAAATTGCATTAAATTCCGACCATGTGCTTAGTTTGAAATGTTTAATTGAATTTTAATATCAGCTGATCTAGATTTTGACTAAGTGACCTTCTTTCTTCAACTTTTCGCTCCTTTTCATCATTTAAAGATATACTATGCTCATCCTTGCGAAAAATATTTCTATCAGAGAAATTTATTGAAATCTATGAAATTCTTACCGAACATATCCAATTTGAATAAAAGAATGGATGAATTATGTATTGGAAGCTGTATTCTATGGAAGCCCTGGAGGGACATTTTAAATTAAAACTTAATATTTAAAATTTAATTCTTAATATTTAAAATTTAATTTTTAATATTAAATACTTAAATCTTATCATTAAAAATGGACACGGGAAACTATTCCGTTGAAAGATTGACGCCACAAGTAGCGGCAGCGAGAATACGAGTAGCGAAGGAAGTAAAGTAAGTTGGACTTTATATACATAAAAAACTGTTTTGAATCACACTAGGACACGCACACGCACTTACTTTCACGGTGAGGACTTGCTTGGGCGGGTTTATTTAAAAATTTTTAAAGACAATTCGACCCAGATTGTAGAGTTTAAAGGTCAGAATTGGGCTGAGGGAAATAAAAAAAATATGGTACAATTGTTCACCGCCATGACAAGATGTGTCGCATGTAAGACCCATGCTCAAAGGTCAAGGTCACATTTAGCGGTTTTTTATACCTACATTGACTAGTCCATTTTTGATGCAGTTCATAGCGTCTGCTATAAAATAAGCATTAGATTATGTTTTGTTTAGATGCTGTATTTTTAACTTGAACAACTTACAACTTTATTAGAATATTTGTCTGGATAATCTTTAGGTCGAATTTGAATCTGGGTCATATTGGGTAAAAGATCAAATCAAAGAAAAACGTTTTGAACACTACAGGTCTTTTTTCAGTTGGAAAAACTTGTAACTTTATCATAGGTCATATATGTAGGTCAATGTTGAAACTTGGGTTTTTTGGTTTAAAAGTCCTAAAATTTGACCCTTCTGGAGAACATTTGGCAAATATTTAGTACTGCCTACAAAGAGCTCAAAAGGTTTATCTTCTAATTTCCTACATACGGTTAACTTATATTTCTAGTAATGTTTACTCTAGGTCAGATTTGTCATGCAATCATCTTTTCAAGAGAGGTATCGTGTTTAAGTTCTTTTATTATTTTTTTCCGTTTGATTTATGACCTGCTCTAACAGTAACGCGAACTCGAGATCGGCCCAGAAATTTTAACTAGCAGTTAAACATAAAAAGCACATACTTCGGAAAACCATGAACATTATGTTTATTCATTAAAAAGTATATATATTATTGTCTAATGTTCAATCATCTGGATTTGTTTCATATTCAATATCCTACAAATCAACATTTACACTATAATCAGTAGAACCTGACAGTTAAGTATTAAACAACATTTTATTTCCGGTCTTCCAGTACAAGTGTCTACATGTTTCTGTGGTCACACATTGTGTAAATTCCAGTGAATACAATGCAATAAAGTCCCGCTTGAAGAACATCCGTTACATAAAATCGCAAGCATTCTGCATGAATAGGGTTTGACGTATCAATTCGTCCACGAGCTCTCAAATCCTTCAACGTATTCCTCCACTTTGGTCCCATAAGCCTGCAATTCTTTTTCTACTGTACTTGTACAATATCTTATGGAGTATTATTGACACGGTGACGCCCTTAATCATTACAACGAAGTATCATCTTAAACGGACGAATAATAAGACGTATGTTGTGTTGACAAAGGAGAAGTTAAACAGTCTCTGTGTTCTTGAAGTCAGCATGAAAGTACTGCGTAATCACTTCTAACCAGGTGCTTCTTTTTCCAGATGGCAATAGGGATGACACAACTGTTGACAAAGGAGTTACTTTTAATAAAATGATAAATGCAAACATCAACGGGATCTAAATGTTTACGACCTTAAAAAAATGAAATATAGCGTTATAAAAACAAAGGGCCTTGGGCTGTAAACATGTAATATTGTCATCCACCACCAACAACTAAACATTATCGTTAGACAAACCTAACCCCCTTACTAGCAGGCATATTTCTGTCAGTTTTAACGCGTCAGCCACAAAATTTAATGATAATCTTTCTCAACCGCTGCTTTTGACACCATGTCAATCAATAAAATGTAAAGCGGCACGGTATCTGGCGTCTTTGATAAAACTAAAGTCTCGGTCTTACTTACTCCCGGCAGAGCCCAGGACCATCCCGGTAAGTTACCGGGATGATCCGGGACGATCCGGGATGCAATTATTGTTGCGGTCACACTTACCCCGGCAGCACTACGGTAGTTCCCTACTAACCACCCAGGATGCGCTCCGGATCATCCAGGCAGCGCCCAGATGAAGCTACGGATCATGCCGGTGCTTCCCCGGTCGTTCCCGGATGACGCCGGAAGAGCCCCGGTTGACCCAGGCAGAGCCCTGGTCGATCCAAGCAGAGCCCCGGCAGAGCCCAGGACGATCCAGGCAGAGCCCCGGTAGAACCCCGGTAAAACGCCCGAAATGATAACATTGATACATAATTTTTATTTAATATAATATCTATTGTTCCAGAATAGTAATTCATGATGATTTTCTGAAAAATCCTTATGCCATACTGGATAGAAGGGCAATGGGAAGGCTTTTAATTCAAACAAGTGCAATCATCTCAAATTGTTGTTATTATTCTTTTGATATGATCCGGGCTTTGTCGAGGCTCTACCGGGATCAATCGTAGCTCTACCTTTATCCTCCGGGGCTCTGCCTGTAGGTACCGGGGCTCTGCAGGCATATATCGGGGCTCTACCGTAGCTCTACTAAGTTCAATATATCTAGTGAATGCAGAGATGTTTAACATATTGTCATAAAGTTAAATGGTACGAAACACACTTATTTTAAAGGATACAATTTCTGTTATTTTGAATAAAATCTATAAAAAATGATATGAAAATTTGCTTTTACAATGTCTTTTTTTCTTTATATATTTCACTGATTTATACTAGAACACTTTAATTTTCAAGGATGAGCACGGTATATCTAATTTAATTGAGATTTAATTAAGAAATATATGCGGTTGATGTATATTTTTAAGGTTGTTCATTGAAATAACTTGCCCCTTTTCCCTGTGGATTCGAATCCCATTAAAGACTTGTATCTAGATAGTTATTATTGAAGATATACTACAATGTCAAAATGATAAATGACTAACTTTGACGGGTTATCTGAATCTTTTCCTTTTTTCATTATAAAAACTGACATATACAAGTTTCAAAGACATATATCAATTCTTTTAAGATTTCCTCTTTGATTGCTACTGCTACTGCTGTGCTATGGCTACTGCCAATTTCACGTTTTATAATTTTGCTACTGCTACTTCTGTGCTACTGTTACTGCCACCTTCATGTTTTATAATTTTGTTACTGCTACTACTCAATGCTACTGCTAACTTCCTACCGGTGATGGCCACTTATAAAAGTGAGTGTATTTTATGAAAAACTGCATCTACAGAAACTTGATCCTTAAACGTTAGGACCATAAGATAAGAATACAGAGGACCAATTAGTGATGACAAGACTCTACTCAGTGGACGTGTTAATGTGGTCAATACAGTTTATAGTGATATACTAGATGATTAGCCCTTACTGAAATTCAGCACGTCTCTGGGAAAATGCGTGAACTTAAGTGAATATATGGTGGTGATTGACACGCCCCTCATGTGCTTTTGCTATTGCCAGTGTGATATTAAATTTTGTTCAAGATGAAACGACCATTTTCGTTGACTAAAATAAATCGTGGCCACAAGATGACAACTCGTGGCCACGAGAAAATAAATCATTGCCACAAGATAAGAACTCGTGGCCACGAGATAATAAGTCGTGGCCTCAATATAATAAGTCGTGGCCACGAGATAATAAG